TGTAACTCGTGCCTAAATACTAGGTCATTTTAATCGGCGACAAGTGAGCTAGACTTTCTATTATTTTAGACTTTGGAACGGTTTTCATACTTACTTACTTACTTCACGTAAGACGTCACAGGGAAAATTAAAAAAAATAGAGTTCCAACTTACCTCCCTTCTACACCTTATAATGCTTCAAACAACAATTAACTTAGTGAGAAAAAATACTTAGTGGAAAACTGTATCCGAGAGCATGTATGTGTGTGAGAACAAATGCAGTGCTGTGTGGGGGTACATGCTGTGTCTGTGTGTTGAGCACAGTGTGTAAGTAACACCCGAGTGTGTGTACGGGTGAATGAGTTAGTGTGACTGTCGAGTCAGTGAGAGAAAGAGATCTTATACATATGTTTTATAGTTTTAAACTTAAAATCAAAGTGTATATTTAAACTGTATATAATTCATGTTAAAAAAAACTGTAAATGCTATAATATATAGCATACAAGAAATGTTGTAAATATATAAATAATTATACTGCACAATGATGATAAAAAACAGTACAAAGGTCGACTACTATAGTCCAATATTTTCTTTACAAAACTCATCCTTTTTAGGTTCTAACCTACTAACAATAGCAGGTAACAATCCTATGTCTTAGAGTTGGGATCTCAGGGCCTCTAACCATAATATATTCAAGACCTTAAGCAACCCCCGAAAATGGCAATCTGTCCCTTTTAACACCAATTGACTTAACCTTTTAACTAATTAGCTGGAGACGATCCCCAATCATAAAGATGAAGGCGTCGTCCACTAATGCCTACATCCACTAATGCCTACAGTTACTAATGACTACAATAAAATAAAGCAGTTTGGAATAATACCTACATAGTGAAAACAACATACCCATGCTAGGAATAAACTCTTCCAATATTAGATTTCATTTCTTAACCTAAATATTATTAATTGGAGTCTAATAGAACTGAATAATGTCAATTTATTGTCAATCATTCCTTGTTGTGATATTACATCACAGAAAGGTGGCCAGCAGGTCGTTCTTGATGGATATCGGTACCGCCTAAACAACAGAAGACAGACCTGTGTACACTGGAAATGTGTAACCGCTGGATGCACAGGCAAGTGTACAACAGTTGGAAACTTTGTCAGAAATTCCAGCCCTCATAACCACACAGCAGAAGATATGACTATGTTCCGTATGTTAGGTGTTCTAAGAGAGAGGGTCCAAGCTGAGACAACACCAATCCAGGCCATCTTTGAGGAAGAGGTTGCCACGTTGGAAGCAGATGTTGCCGCAGTTTTTCCGTCCTTTTATTCAAAAAGAAGTGGTCTCTACAAGCAGCGTAGGAAGACTACTCCAGCCCTCCCGCAGTCATTGGCACAAGTTCAGCTCCTAGGTACCTGGCAACAGACTTTAGACGGCAGACCCTTTATGTGTGTCAATGATGGTGATGATGACAAGATCATTTGCTTTGCCACTAAAGAGCGACTTCACCTTGTACAAGAGTTGGACACTTCATATATGGATGGAACATTCTATTCAGCTCCAGCCTTGTGGAATCAGCTGTATATAGTGCATGGATTTGTTGGATCTAAGATGACGCAGCTGATCTTTTGTTTGCTGCCCAATCGCCAGAGATCTACTTATGTCAGACTCTTTCAGAAGCTAAAGGAGACAGTCATGCAGGTCACAGGAGCTCCTCTACAGCCACAAGTAATACAGACTGATTTTGAAGTTGCTGTGATGCGAGCTGTCGAGGACGAGTTGCCTGGTACAGATATCAGAGGGTGCTTCTTCCACTTTACACAAGCAGTATGGAGGAAAGTCCAACATTTGGAGATGGTCAATCAATACAGAGACAACCCGGAAATCCACAACCTTGTCAGACGTGCTGCTGCACTACCAGTTAACATGGTTCAGCAATCTTGGCTCGACGCAATGGAGGATGCCCCTAATACACCACAGACCACGTCATTCAAGGACTACATGATCAATACTTGGGTCGACGATAATGCCTTGTTCCGTGCTGGTATATGGAATCACCACACCAACGTTGGTCCGCGAAGCAACAATCACCTTGAAGGATGGCATGCGCACCTTAATAAGACTGTTCAGCGAGCCCAACCCAAAATCTACAGCCTCGTGAGAGTCCTACAGAAGCTTGAAAAAGCAGATAAGATTGCGCAGCTAATACACGGTGCACGTCCTCTACCCCGCAAGCGAGTATATGTTGAAATAGACCAGAGAATCCAACGCCTTAAAGATGACTTGTTCATACACAGAAAGACGCCTCTTCAGTTTTTGGATGCTGCAGGACACTTGCTAAAACTCTCGTGAAAAAATGTTACGAACTGATATATAAAAAAGAGTGCTAATATGACCCTTTTTCTACTTGTAGTGTTATTATGTCAATTATGTTATTATTATTATACTGATATATAAATAAAAAAGTGCTATACAACTTTCTGTCTTTTGTCGCCTATAGACAATATTCCACTAAAGTGGACTTGTCCAATTAGAGGTTGGGTAGCAATGATAGCAGGTATCGCTGAAATTCACTAGTGCATGTCTTTCTTTAATTTACACTGTAGGCATTAGTGGATGTTAGTGGCCGGAGCCAAGATGAAGATGAAAGAAGGTATGAAAGGTATAAAGTCAGTTAATGTCTAATTATGACAATCCTTGATATTAATCTTGACTTGACCACAGATATGAAAAAATATATCATCAATAAACATGTTATGAGAATATCCTCATAGCAATGCTCCCTCTCTGCAAGGAGTCCAGACAGTGCTTTGGAACATTTTGATACTTCTCCCTTTCCTTAAATCCGCGATCCACGACCACTCCCTTCCAACATAGGTCCGTCGGATAAATTCCTTGACCCACCCCAACTCTCACAAAGATTTGGTTATTTTAAATACTGTTCTCTTGTTCAACAATATTGGAATTATATTTTAAAGGAGTTGTATGCAGATTACGTCCTACCATGCAGGGTGCAACGAGGACAATTTTGCCAGGATAACCTGCTATTTCTGGATTCCAACTGTCGAGGGTTCTTAAACGTGCACAGCTCATGTCAACACCTCCGACCTGCATCAATGACAGGGGGTCGTTTCCTGCTCGATTCCTGGTCGTTTTACGTTTTCGATGGTCGATTCTTGTCGGTTCATGATATAGTAAGTTTCCAATATTTCCAGTTCTTTAGCTTGGATTATCTGGACGCTTAAAAAATATTTAGCTCTCAACCAATGACATCAATATTAAATTTAAATTTTTATTTACATAACCATCATAAACAATCTTCACTTTTCTGACGTAATACAGCCAAATACAGATCCAAGAGACCTAATGATTCTAATTAATCACTGAATATTTAATGGTGTTTATACGTCCAACTCTCAGGTTACCTTCAGTGAAGCAATATTACTGACTTATACAGGTATGGAAATGAAAGCCACTTGTGACCATTTACTACTTTAGATTTCGCTTCCTGCCAATCTCATATCGGTCGCTATGATATTGATACAACGGTGGGTGTAGCATTCCGAAATCCCGAACTCTCCAATTTTTCCCAAACTGATAAAGAGCATTTCGCGGAATTTACGACTCGATTTTTAGGTCGGAGTATTCGGAATTTTACACCCATCGTTAACACAGATATTAAATTTCATAAACACTAATACATTTTAAATTATAGAACAGATAGTGTTCATAGTACACAATAGTTCCAGTGGCTCAACCACCTTTTGGGTGGGTGCCCGTGGACTTTGTTCAAGCAGCCCCCGTGGTACTTACACCAAAAACAGTTCCAAAAACATTTTTTTCAAAAGTGATACGATAGTAAAAATTGGACAGTTGTTGAATAAGGACCTGTTATCAACAAGTTGGTGATTCACACTGACAGTACTCCTCATTAAAGGGACAGATGTCCCATTTTGGGGGTTGATTTGAGTCTTGAATATATGTAAATAGTCTTCAGGAATACTAGAAATGTACGAAAATCACGTAATTCCTTTAAAAACTAGGAATTTTACTCACTATTTCTATATGTCTTTTCTATATATCACAGAGTATCTTAAATTGACGAGTCATCATTTTAACATTCCAACGGATATAATTCTGGAAACACATAGATTTCAAGGCTCAAATTTCGACAGTGATCTGTGAACACTATTACTGATAAGCTCGGCTGAAAAATTCCAGTTTCTGAGACTAAAATATGACTAATCAAAAAAATGGCCTACCTGTCCCTTTAATGCGACGTCCAGGCATTTTAGGTTGTAACATTGCGGTCAAGTAATGTTTCGAAAGATCAGACACGGGAATCTAAGTGAAACCTCTAGAGTGCAGTGAGGTTTAAAAGGATTGTTTATGTGTATAGGGGACTTTTAACTTGCATTTTGGTCATTCCAATTTCGTCCAACGCCCGTAGTTCCTGTTTTTCCAGAAGGAGTTAACCGAAAATATTTAAAGAGAAAACTGGTTAATAGGAATAATATCTATGGAAATTATAATAACTGAGGGTTACGTGTCTTTGCAACATTCCAATTTCAGACTTTTGTGGTTCTTGCATTTCAGAAACATTTTTCTATCAGAGAGCGAGGTTTTTTTCCATATCGATGTCTTTATTAAGCCGTGTCCACACCCACTGACATAGAATTCATACAAAACCTACCCTAGCCAGCATCACTCTTATATCGTTTGTTTACAGTTGTTGATGGATAGTTCCAGAGCAACCATGAAAAGATTTGCTGAAATTATACCTAATCGCCAGATTAAACTATCAATGTTGCTTTGCAACACGCAATCAAATCGGGTTAGATATTAAGCAATTAGAAGACAATAAGATTAGAATTGTAGGATTAGTTAGATTAAAAGTAGTAGAACATGAAGTTAGGGTAGCAGATTTAGCGCTAATTAATCCATTCACCAGCCAATCATTGATCGATCTGATAAATATCCACAACCAGCGTGTTCTAGACATTAACTACCTTACAGTCGACAACGTAACATCCAATCCGTCATTTCGATTCTCCCCTGACTTAATAGCGGCTTTATTAAGGAGAGATTTTTTATTCAGTTTTTCGAGCGGATTATTTAACTTTTATAAGGTAAGGTATTACATTTTTTGCAGACCAAATCATATAATTGTCTTAGTATATATAATAAACATACATTACTAACTTTTTTTGATAACAGGTCTATTTGGTTTTTGAGAATTTTGACCTTTCAAATTTCAATTTTTAACTTTCTATTTTTTTTTGTCTATTTGGAGCAGTGACTGTTTTTGACGATAGTGGTCTGAAAAGGATAAAAAATATAATTAAATTGAAGAATTTTAAATTTTTTCCACTCCTACTTTTAAGTTTATAATATTTCATATTATATATTATATATATATATTATATTATATTATTCTAAGTTTGGTAATGAAATTTAGGAAACTTGATATGTTAGAATGTCTCCCAGGCAAAATACACCGGAAGGGATGCAAAACCAGCTATTTTAAAACCGCATTAGAAAAAAACACACCTGAGGAAAGGAGTAAAATAAAATAAATAGAAGACAGCAGATTTTAGCTAGTCATGTGACAAACAGGTTATTTTTCATTGAGAGAGAAATTAAAATTAAGTCTACAGTTTTGTTTGTCACACAAATTCAATAATATATTTTTTGTATTCGCACGAAATAAAACTATTTTTTGTTTACTTTCGATTTCGAAAAAAAATTGAAATTAACATAAAATGTTAATAAATAAAAATTAATCATAAATGGATGACAAAAAGGAACAATTTGACCATTCAAAATTCGGATATTTCAATAATTGGCAATGCAAAACTCAGACATTTAAGTAATTAGCGATGTATAACTGGATTCAATTCACAGGTCCATTGATCGAGAAAAAAAATGGATATGACTTTATAATATTATGTCATTTTTTTATTTAACAATGAAATTGTAATAAACACAATAGAGAAGAACAACTGATATACTCATTAATCCACATTCATTAATATATAACCGAGAAGGACCAGATATTATACCTAATTAAACAATGCCCAGACATACGAAGTTAGGTTAGGGAAACATAATTTCATGACCTCTGCAAAGCAATATGTCGTGTAGATTGAGGAGAGATGAAAAGTCATTTAACAAGTTTCGTGTAATATCTATTCACAGGGTTTTAATTAATTCAACAAATTATCTTGTTCTTTAAGCGCAAGTTGCATCCGAAGTTGTGTCCGAAGCGCAATTTCATTTTTCTTAAACGCGGTTTTTCTTATGGATTACATTCTTGTGTAATTTTAAAATCTATTTTATTAATTGATAATACAAGTCTAGTGACTTTCAAGATTCATCCTAATACATTTCATTCTGCTCTTAGGGGCAATAATGACCACCATTGTTTGACTTGTTGACCAGTGGGCAGTGGTCATCGAACCGTAAGATCCACTCAATTCGGTCTCTTCAGACACAAATAATTGGTAATTACTTACGTATGTGGCTAAATAATTAATGAATCAATAAGATAGGCTATTGTTTAGATTAATATTTAATTTCATGCCTCCATCTTTACCGTGAATGATAATTATGGGAATCTGACGTTTTGTTTATTTCGTTTCCATGGTGAATTACTGATACATTATAGACTTACAAGGTTTCAAATCACATAATACCATTATCTGGCTTGATTAGGGACATTGATAAGAATGAATGAAGGAATAGATGGAAGGATGAATGAAATGGATTGAATTGATGGAAAGAGGGTTGTTGAAAAAAAAGTTAAATGAAAACAGAGCTCCAAACCTCTCTTAATCAATTCGTGGCAAATAAAACGGTCGTGATAGTATATCCTTTTTACACCTAGCAATTGTATCAGTACCAGGTCCGGTATATTAATGAATTTAACTATGCAAATCGGTTGAAGTTTACAAGGTCCACCGTAATTTGATCGAAACTTGTTACGCTGAAAGTGGTTCCAATGCGGCACTGGTAGTGATAGCAGTAGTGTAAATGGTCGTATGTACCAGGTGGAGGATTCAAGATCTGCTAATAAACTTGACATAAAGTGATATTCGCAGACTTATACCTCAAGGCGAGGAAAATAATTGAAATAGTTCGGTATATTCTAATATTGTACAACAAATCTCTTTATAAACTCCATATACAAATATTCCAAATCTCTGACATTGTTGAACAATTATTGGCTAACACTAAGTCAAGCATATTACTGACTTATGAGATTTATTATTGTATATAATCGATATTTAGGATTAATGAAGTGAGATCATCCCTCTATTGGATTAGCCATACCTTTTTAAATCCTAATAATATCAATAGAATCACGACAAATCACGTCCATGTACATCGAGTTAGGATATTCTTTCCTGATCAGCTGTTGAAGACCACCAAGGTGTTTGAATACATTATTTAATTTTTGTAGAATAGTAAAGTTTAATACAGTATGAAGATTTCAACATCCACCATCACTTCCTGTTTCATCGTCTGTCACATTTTTACCAGCTTGGGTAAGTAGAGCTACAAGGTCTCTTTCATTCTGCGAAGGGAACGATTTTAAAATACGTGATTGGTTATAATAATGCCCGAACAAATATTGGCCACTGAATAGTAATAAATCCAAGCATGGCAACTCAATCTGAAAAGTGTAGGTATATTGAAAGGAAAGGAATTGTTTTAACTTAAACGCATTGGCCGTTGAGAAGATCTTCACTAAGCTATTGTCTCACGTCGAGCGCACACATTGAATCAATCTTCAGCCGTGCCATAAATATAAAACAGGATAGATTTCAGACGCACTGTCTCGCAAGGCAAACAACGCAGCAGTTACCCGCGCACGGTGAGATTTCAGTTACTCCCGACGAATGACCGAGCTGTTGACTCACGTGTAGTACGACTTAATTTAATGTCGCAATTCAGTGTCTTTATCATTTGGTAATTATCTTTCCAGTATCTTCATATGATGAAAGGTTAGAAGATTTATTTGAAACGGAGGGTCTTTTACCTCTACACAAACCCCAATCAGAACAGACTCGCGTTAAATTGCCAACGAAAGAACCCAGCATCAAATCAACACCGTCGCCTTACAGACCGCCGAACCACCCATCATCACGTCAACGAGCGGATATGGCCGATTTTCTCGAATCTGAAGCATTTGAAAAACCACTCTCTCGATATCGTCGTGCCAATCCCGATGATAATGTTGAAGGATCAGGTAAGACTGGTTGAAATATTTAAAATATTTAATCACAAAAATAGCTCCAATGTTGTACAATGATGATATTCATGTGGATATAATGATGACCTCATTTCGATTTTGAGAAAACCCCACCCGATCTACCAGAAACATACAAAACCAGCTAGTTCCTTTGAATTTTTTATGATTAAACCATAAACCAGTTTGTATGTTTGTATTTTTTTCACTTTAGGAGGTGACCCCGCGTCTACAACTTCTGCACCGGTAAGTTATTTCCCGTTAATTCCGAGACCGATCTAGCTTTTAGTATACCCTAGCCTACAAAACCCAGCGAGCTATATACATGTGCGATTATTATCACTCAGATCATCTTCTCCACCAGATGTCAATAGTGTTATAGTGCGACTTCAAATCTATAGAACCAGTTGTTCATAAGCCCGACTACTGCTTACGCCGTTACACTATTAACTTGCAACAGCAAAAATGTGATATTTTCTCTAATTTCAGACTCTCCAATGTCACGAGGTGGTGTGTTCTGGACAAGATTGTGTTTCATCATTTGATAAAACAGATACATCTAAACAGTGCTTATCACAAGGTTCATGCTATGTGAGTATTATATTGTCTAATTGAGTATATTCGCCCAAACTGATGTGATTTTCGTAACCAAGGCCCACCCTCTCTCAATAGTAAATTAAACCGATATAAAAGTAAAAAAGGTATTTGCTTTACCGACCGAAAGGGTCAAGGTATCCATCTATCTTTACTGAATCAAAATTCTTAGTTGGTTGCCCCACAACAAAATGCTTGATAGAATTATCGAAGAATAACCCCCTAAAGAAAACAGGCACAAGGATAGCCGTTTTCTGTACAGACCCCCAGCACACAAGTATGCCCATATAAAAAGCAAAACGGTCATATAGGCCTGTTCCCTAATCCATTTCTTATAAATAAAATATTGCTTACAAAATAAACTTAGAGTAATAATATTATTATTTGAACAATTTCTATTCTGTTTTCTAAATATGGATCATATTGGCAATGTGACACTTTCCATTAAACATTCTTGTCAATATTTTCACTATGTCCACAACATATTAAACAATATTATTAGTACACTGAAACAATATTAATGGAAATCATTCTAAATTTGACAAGAAGCAATTGATATTTTATGCATTGGTAAATATACTTTGTTAAAATGTACATTTAAAGATATTGATCATGGCGAAAGAGGCTGGTAGTCATAGATTAATCTATCCCAGAAATAAGACCGAATAATCAAGTCTACATTGAGGCAATTCGTTTGGCTGGAAGTGAAATTAAACTCAGCAATGAGTCGTGTTGATTGTTAATCCGTTCTGTACATATGTTAATTTCAGCAATTGCAATGCATTTTCTTGAAAATATATAAAAGTAAATATTTTACTATTAGCGACGTCATCAAACACAGAGTTTTAGTGGATTTGTAGGAACCACAGACTTCTGATTGAAAAGTGGAATGGTGCAAATCGATGCTAACAGTGTCTCCGATACACATAAAAACTTTAGAAATCCTCTTTACAATCCCTTTAAAACTGATCTAATTTTCACTCCTGACACTAAAACAAAGCATCAGGCTTTTAAATGTCTTAACAATAGTGTGAAAACGGGGATATTTATGAGCATCCCTCACGTGAAGCCAGTCTCTCTAGAGAGAAGATCAAGAAGAAAAGTTAATTAGTTCAGCCAACATAACTAATCCGATGTCTGAATATCTTATCAGCTAGAACCAGGGAGATTTTACATAAACATCACGCCATACAGACACAAATAAATTTGAAAAATATACATCACGTGATATTATAGACTCCATCACAGGTTCCTGCAGTGCCATGACGTCCTTTTTAATTTGTTCTAGTTCCATTAGAAGCGTATTTTTAACATAAAATGAAAGATGAATACTATTTTGTTTTTCAGATTAGAGCCAGATATAACGAAACGCTGAAAATTTTACAGACAGTAGAAGCACGTTGTGATGAAAGATCATTCTGTGAATGGCAAACCATTACTTTGGATGAATTTACAGAAGTGTCCAATTGCTGCACCGACAATCTATGTAACGACCCAACACTATTGGCCAGTAGTAGCTCAAAATTCCATCAGAATACAGTTTTTCAATTATTATTGTGCTTAATGACTATCTTGTTAAATTCTTGTCGGTGACTTTTTCCTTTGGTATTTTTTCATGGTGTGACACCGTTTCCTCTCTCATATCGAACTCATTTTTTCGCCGAAGTGACATGTGCAATGACGTCATACGTAATATTATGTAGTGAGTGTACCACCGAGTTACGCCTCTTCCTGGGTAGAAACCAACTCTCAAGTTAATCGTATCGCGAAGAAAGTTTTAGCGGTATGTGTTATGTTTCGCTACATTAAATGCTTCATGAAAGCTTTTGCAGCTATTAAACACATCATTTAGTAATTGTCGTTCAAAACAGAGTTAAACGGAAAACTCCTATTTAAATTAGTTAAAACATGTCAGCATATAGCCTTTTCCACACACATTCTTAAAGGTATACTTCTCTTAGGATAACCAAAAAATTTTAAGTGTTAAACTTGGCCAAAATGAGTCTATATTCATCAGGGTACTTGCGCGGCGTTGTTAATATAGAGCAGAATCTCTCTATAATCTAATAAATCCATAAAACTAAGTAATTATTCATTAAACTAAGTAATTATTCAACTACGCTTTTCATTTTTCAATAATTACTCTTATATTATATTCTTTAGTCATGGCACCTTGTAAGTCCAACTGATGAATATATATTCCTATTGACTAAATTAAATTTATATTTGTTCTTGTTCATTCTAAGAGGTATTATTCCGTTAATGTATAACGTTAGAGATCCAGGAGCGTTTTCAGGTAATTGTGTTCCGTCCATTTATACATCAAAACCAAACGCATATCGACTATATAGTATCTTATTTATTGTATATATACATGTATTGTATTGTGATATTTAATTGTCACGTGATATTGAACTGTGATATTTTGATATTTATTGTCATGTTTTAAAGTACAAATTAAACTTAATGACCCTTGCTCATATTTTTAAATTATTGAAAATATAACAGATAGCTGTTCGAGTAAACAAAATGAACTGTAAATTTAATTTTGTAAATAACAGATGCTAATATTCAGCTTCCTGGAATTCCCAGTAGGCCTTAATATTACTTTTACCTTCCTTCCAATGTAGGTACGTAACCGAGAATCACATGTGATTGAAGGCTTGTAATATCCTCCATATAGTTTTTATTACTATTATATTGTATATGCATTTACTGCATATGATACATCATTGTATAATAATTTATTGTATTGTAATGGTACACCGTTGTAAATGCATTTACTGAATAGTAATGATACACCGTCCTACCAAATTTTTATGATATTGTCTCCGTCCATTTAATATCAACCGGTACCTAGTAATAGATAAAACAACAGTTAAATGTTTATCAAACGAGTGGGGGGGATTATTTGTCCCGTCTTATGTCAAGGGTTTTAACAGATTATATTAAGTTTCAGGGTTAATCATAATTATTATTATTATTTGTCTTGATGTTTATTGTAAACCAGGACCACTAAATATATCTATTTATTTAACAACTGTTTGTTACTTTTAAAAAAAAACGTGTCCTCGTTTTATGGTTTTGTCATATTAGTCCTTGAAACCACGTTATTGGCGAAATACGTTTTCCAGATTGACGTACGTCATCTCTTAAACCGTTGCTTCAGTACTGCAGTGGCGGCGCCAGCCTTCCGAGACCGGGGGTACAAATAGGGGACAGATTGACTCAAAGGGTGATAACTGCTGAGGGTAAATTCAAGTTTTGGCTACTATTTGGTGTCATAGTCGAAAGCCTCTCACAGAGTGTCTTGGAGGGTTCTCTCAATCAAATTTTTAGAAAAAAAAACAGGTAGTCACTGGCGATGAGCTAGGGCCTACAAATGACGTCATCTCCTATGACAACATGGGATGCGGCGTATGAATACACAAAAACTTTCAACTGCATATGAACATTTAATTTATCAATCAATGTATAATCAATATATACAAACAAGAAGAACATTTCCTAATAACTGAATACCTGTGGGAAAAAAACATGAGATTAACGATAGGCCTAATAAGACAAAATAATAGCAATTATGACAGGGTCAATTAAGCTTATTCGATCTAAGCGACATGTTTACAACAGAAACAAATTTAAAACCCCCCACAAGCTGTGTCTGTTTTTATTATATATTTGTATCCGAGGATGTTATATTTATCATTTTTTTGAGCAAAGAATTCAAATTCAAAGAATTTGTCATAATAATTTGATTATTGACAAATTAGCCTCAATCATCTAGAAACTCTTTGTCTACGTACAGCTGCGACGGAAAGGTCATAGACAGGAGAAGTATGGGCGTCAGCGACTAATTCTCAAAGAAGTATTTTTCTTCCATAAGACTGTGCATGTGGAAGAATCAAGCTCTCCTTTCTCCAGAATGTATAGACCATCAAACAAAACTTAAAGATCGGTTTCCTTATTTTTTAGTGTCAAATGAAACAAACTATTTGATTAATTGGTGTTTCTAATGAATCATGTATTCTTTATCATATCATTATATTCTTATTGCATATAATTAAGAGTTTTAACCAATCATTCATGTCCATGTATGTACAGTCTGGATGAACAAAAAATATTTTTTGACCTTTCTTGATCGGTCACTCATTAGATTTCTGCTAGTAATTCTCTTAAAATTTAGCTAATTATGACTTAATTATGTACATGTGAGACAAACTTTCCCAAGTCATTAAAACACCTCTACTTTCTATTCATATAAGTATCAGCATTTTCATAAATGAAAATAAGGGAACATATCTTTAAGTTATGATATGACTACGTACATGATGAAATGAAATGATAGACGTCAGCCAGATCGACTCAAAGAGAGACCGATTGATTTGTCCCGCATCCTGTGTTCATTTTGTGAGCTGTGTGTAAACAGTTTATTCGTACCAGTACAAAAATAATAAAAATGTACAAAACAGAAAATGAAAACATTAAATTAAAATTGATAAAAGGCGTAGAATGTGGATGATTTCAAGAGCACGATGTAATGACACTAGCACTCATTGCCTTCCGTACAAAAAAATAATTTTTTAAAAATATGTTCTATATAAACTATATCTTAATTCATCTGATATACTTTTAAGGTCACCATCAACATCGCAATCCATAGAGAGTTTTGTTGTCGTCTGCTGAGCGATTGTGTGCAGTGTGTTCGAATCTCTGTCTATCCTAGCATGATAATATCTGTTGTCAAATCTATCAAAATGACGCCACAGTTAGGCACACCCGCCCGCATTCTTACGACGAAGAGCTGAATGATGGGTGATTTGGTTGGTTATTGTTGTTAAAGATAGAACAGTAGTTCTGAAGTCGGTAATGTCTACATCCTTCAAAGCAATCACTGCACCATACTTTAAAAACGGTCGTTTAAAAAAGCCATTTTCTTGATAAATTTTGATTTTGATGGAACATGTTTCTAGTTGGCCAATTGATAAATCAGTGAACCGAAAGTCCTCTTCCCATCTCTTAGCTTTAGCTAAATCGATAGCCTTTCCCTTCTTTTTTTGAAGTTTGTTTGGAAGGAGGCATAATTTAGCGTATATTCGTCCATTATTGGGGAAAGTTAACGTTGCGCGATGAATAGATACATGGAGTGCATTCTTTCTATGTTCGTGGTTGATCGTTAGTTGTACTTGATCAGTGTCCAGTTCCACATCAGCTATAGAGTCTTTATATTGCGGGATGAAAAACTCAAACATAGATGTTTCTCTAAAACCAGAGTCGTAAGAAGAAACTGACTTCATATCTCGACAACTAGGCACTCTTTCATTAAAATCAAAATTAGATGTAGAACCGACACTTTTTGATATTCGGAGACTGGTATTTGGTTCTTTTGCTTTTTCTTTTTCACTCATCTTTTTTGGCGTCATAGTTTGCTCTAGTCTGTCGAATTTATTAATTAAAGGGGAAATCAATCCCTCCTTTCTTCTGAGGGCTGCTTTTGTATTTGATATCCTCAAATAGTATTCGTCATATGAAGCTGCTCTTCTTCTAAATGCTTCATCTCTGTGGCCAGAATTTGGCCACCGAATTGGGATTGAGTCAAAGGATTCTTGAAGACTGGTGCTAATTCGTTCTCTAACATGTGTAATCTCCGGTAAAGCTTGAGATGCTTTATTTTTCAACTGTTGGAAAACTTCCATTTCTGAAAAAATTTCATGTTGATCATATTACCTTTTATGCATGATTTAATATGATGGATGTTAACAAAACAAATTAATATCATTATTTGGAATTTAATATAATTGAATATTAAACCTCACTCATGGGAATAATGCTATTTTAAATTTCGGGGAAGAGAGTGTCCTATCAATATTTAAAAATTTGCGCAAAATTGAGTATTGTTTATTTTAAAGATAGCAGGGTTCATACTGCGAAACAAAACATATTCAATTTTTACAGAATTTTTGGTGACGTCAATATTATAGAATCACATTTTTTTTTATAATGAAACGAAAAAATAAATATTTCGTTTCTTAAACTACGCATGATCCAAATAACAATAATCCAATTTCACCGCCAAAAATAAAATGAATCACACAATAAAACGAGACGCAAAACCTAAAACTAGGCCGTTAAAAGGATAGTAACTGAAATCCAAATCCTTAAAATCATAGACAGAGTAGGTTTTTTTTTTACATTTTATTTCGTGCTGCATTTCATAATATTAATGTCATCCGAAATGCCACTAACTTGAAAACGGTTCGATCTTTAAAAAAAAATAAACTTATTTTAGCGCAAGTTTTGATTAGCGGTTGGGGCGGTAGGGCGGTTGGGATTTAAAACCTAACCAGAATCAACAGGGATAAAGCCATAAAAGAGATTTACGTACCACACACAATAAGACTTTTAAAAATTCCACAACGCTTTTCCAAGTTTTTTCTCAGTCCTTTTCTTATTGACTTACTGAAAGTCGATTGCATGAAACCCCTGTTATCACTAGTTTTTATATGGTATGATGAAGGTGAATGCCCGACGGATGTGGCAAAATACACATGCAAATTGAAATTAAATACCATGGGAACCAGTTGCGTTTTGCAGTATGATCGTGGGATTCAATACCCAGTAATAAGTAAGGAGTTTAGTTTTAAGGCAATGACTTTAAGAACTACAACAATGGTATAAGTTCATAATAATAAGGTGGAATTTAAAGATGAAAATTTAAGTTAATTATTTGATCATCGATAATTCTATCCAGCTTCATTTTTTTATAGTTTATCAGACCAATTGTTTCATTTGAAGTTTCCTTTTTTAAAGAACACGTTGCTAACAACCACACATTTCCGGGCATTTCTTTTGAATTGAGGATATATTATAATATATATTTTTTTACAGTGCTTAACATACATATTAACCTCCTTCAAAATATATTAATTTTAAGTCTCAGCTTCACAAGCAAAGACCACTAGTTTTGATTGTTGAGGACCAATAGTCTTTCTTCAGTGCGTATTTGATGTTTTTTGACTGAAAATGCTTCGATACACATACATGTTATCTAATGTTGCAGTTTGTAATCCTGGTGTGACTTATATTATTTCTATACGCCCACATGGAAATCTGGACGTATATTGCCGTCGCCCCTGTCCGTCGGTCGGTCCGTCCGTCCGTCACGATAGAGACTACAGTTTTTATCTGATCTTCATGAAACTTGGTATGCATGTATATATTAATGAGATCTCAGTCAAGTTCGAAATTAATAATAATCGGATGAACGGTTTCAGAGTTATTGCTCTTGACTAAGTAAAAACGCGTCAAATTTGGCTTGTAGGCACGATAGAGACAACAGTATTTATCTGATGTTGATGAAACTTGGTATACATGTATGGTTGTATATTGTCGTTGCCCCTGTACGTCGGTTAGTCTTTGAAAGGGGCTAATAAGACAAATAATTTTCTCTTTGAGAGAGCTAATTTTACAGGATCGGGTGGTACGTCGGTCCATCCGTCAACATTTCTTGTGGGCACAATAGAGACTACAGTTTTCATTAGATTGTAATGAAAATGGTGTGAGCATTGGGATACATAAAACGGCGGTAAAGTTCGAATTTGATGTTTTATTGCTCTTGACTTAGTAAAATCACGTAAAAATTTTCGGGCTCATTAGAAGCTACAATTTTCAGTGGATTTTGATGAAACTTGGTGTGAGCATTGGGATTGATAAGACGGCGGTCGAGTTCGAATTTGACGATTTTTCAAAGAACACGATGGGGACTACAGTTTTTATCGGATGTTGTTGAAACTTGGTATGTAGGTATATATTAATTTAATTTGATATCAGTAAAGTTTAAATTTATCTATGTATGCTAGTTAGTTAGTTAGTGTGAATTTGATGATACATTATTATACATCTTTCAGACATGAAAGGAGTGTGATAACTCAATGCTTCTGGGTCTTTGCTATTGATTTAAAAAGATTTTTGGAAAAACTCAGCATAACTGACCCTAAATTGATGAGATATTCAGGGTTTTTGAACTACAAATGCATAATGAAGATCTTCAATATGAGAAATTTGATATTATTATGAAGATATTTTTGGTCAATAAAGATTTAGTTATCATCTCTGACAGCTGCCAGTGGGCGTATGTTACCTTGTCTGACAAGCTATCTTATTTAAGTGTATAAAGATGTATATTTATTCTTATTTATTTCGCAGTTATCACAACTCATTGGTCTACATCCAGTCATAAACTCTCCAACAGGAAGTCATGCTCTTTGGACTGCGATTTACTGCGTCGTTAACTAGGATGTCATTAATATCAGTGTTAATGAAATTTAATTTAAATATTATTATTTTGGTATTTTGTTAAGTATGTCTTGTCTTTTCAGGATGTCAATTTAGCACGAATCTAGTTTAAGCATCCCGCAGCCAACCGTACTAGAGTCCCGCAACAGACAGGAAGGTTAGTCAGTGGCGTTTCTAGGGGGTGTAGAAGTAGGCTTAGCTCTCGCAACTCATATGAAAAGATTTGCTTGTGAAAAATAATTTATTGTTATATATTGATTTACATTCGATAATAAACATTACTTTAAAAAAAGAAAAAGGTTATCATTATGTGTGCACACAGGGTTATTTTAAGAATTTTTTGTGCGCAATTTATCAAACCAAATTTTAGTTTTAGCTAAAGAAGTTTAATTTTGATGACATTTCTTAGAAATTTCATGGATTTGACACAAATTTCGTACGATACATCTTAAATTGAACCCTGGGTGCACACATTGTAATTCATCATTGTAATTTGGATGTAGTTTACCTCCCAAAAATGTGAACAAGTCATCGGATGATTAAATCGAACGTATGCAAATCATTGCCAATGTTATTTACTGTAGTTTAAGAACCATTGAAAAACTTCGGAATCGTTTCAACACCACCATCAGCACTAATCTGATGATGTGGAAAATTTTTTAAATTCTGTCTTAAATAGATAGATAACGCATGATGAACTAATCAAATCCATAAGTGATTAAATCTCCTGGAAATTCCAGTAGAATTCTTTAAGAATACACCTTATATTTGTATTGATATAGTGCACTTATTATTTAATCTTATATTAACTATTAACTTATATCCTAAATATTGGACTTTGGGTGTTATAATTCATAAGATGGGCAGCTTTGATTAGCCTTCTAACTACAGATCAGTGACCCTCCTAGAAGTTTCTGGAAAGAGATCTTTTCAAAATTAATATGTAAGAGGTTGGGTGCCTGGCCTGATTCGGAAGAACTCATTAACCAGGCTTCCAAACTATTTTGTTTATCTTAGATGCCATTATAAATTGGTAAGAGTAAACTTTACTGTGCCTTAATTGATCTTAAAGCGGCATTCGATTCTGTGAGCAGATTGGGTCAAACGTTTAGGCTTATCAAGAATATGTATAAGGATGTTAAGACATGTGTAAGGTTGCAAGAGGTTAGAACTTAATTTTTTGATTGTGACTATGGTGTTCGCCAAGGATGCCAGTTGTCTCCGTTTTTATTTATATTTTTCATCAACGATGTTGTTGATAATGATTCAAGAGGTATTAATATTGGCACAATAGAATTATTCATGCTCATATTTGCAGATGACATCATATTATTTCATATTACAGTACGGGGGCTACAAAGCCGACTGGAGGCTCCGGAGGCCTATTGTACAAAGTGGAAATTAAACATAAATACGAGTAAAAGTAAGATAGGCCTAATGGTGTTCAGGAAAGGCGGTAAACTGAAACAATCGGAAAAGTTTTATTGTATTTTGTCCTTGCTTTTGTAAATGCAACCCTGTCTGAATTGCGTCTGCATTTGTTAAATCTATTTCTAAAAAGTTTAAAATCCGGTCTGGCTGTTGTGTACTAGCTTATCTTATTTGTGTCCAATACAAGAATTCTAGATTCCCGGGACCGTCGTTCACGTACCTAATATATAATGGTGTCGGTGGTTCTGGGAAACCATTTGATCTTAGTTCAAAAGTAAAAGCGGTGTGGTCTGAGAATTCTTTAAAGTCTCTAACGCTAACTCTTGAGTAAAATCTGCGTTTTTCCAGTGGATGAGCAACATGTCTCTTTTCTCTTTACTGATTCTGCCATTACAAATTGACAATTAGGTATTGATATAAAACATTTGTGACTGAGGTTCTCATAGTGTTTAACTTGACAAATTAGATAATCCTCTAATAAACCTGTTCTCGAATTTAAATCGCCACATAACATAAATATTCCATATTGTGAATAGTGCACATTATAGAGTTCGATTTGTCTAAAGAAGTCAGTGTTATAAGAACTACAAAATATTGATTCTGAGTGGGTTATATAAAAAAAACATATGAAAACATCTATTGGTCTATTATGGAGATTTTTATTACTGCAAGACCACAGTCTTTTTCACTATTCACCAACTTCACGTTATTGTCAATTGTTCTCTTATGAAAACGACTATACCCCCGCTGCTTTTGTTCTTTTTACGATTTATGTTTTCGCATATCTCTCTAATTTAGAGAGGCCGGTGTGTTACAGTACTATAATGTCATGTTTCTTAATAATATTCAAAACATGGGTATCATTTAGCTTTTGATTAAGCAAATGACCTTTAATCCACCTTCTACGATTCACTAGGCACGTGGTGTTTGACGATATAACTGGTTCTTTATATAAAGTTTATCTCTATTAAGTATTCTTTATTATCTATCTCTTTTTCTCTTTTGAAGATCTCAATGAGTGGACGGTGTTTGTAAAGAATATCAGTTGGAAATGTCGTATTTGGTATGTGCCAATAATTTTGATTTTCCTCTTATTTCTTGTCGATTCGAAAAATAGTTAAATTTCTATACTGGCAGCTGTTAATTAAATATGCTGAATATATAGAATACTGTCATTAATTACATATGAGTAGAGTATAAATAATACTGACTGTTGTTGATTAGATATGAGTTGAGCATATAGAATACTGACTGTTGTTAATCAGATATATGTAGAGTATAAAGAATACTGACTGCTGTTAATTAGATATGAGTTGAGCATATAGAATACTGACTGTTGTTAATTAGATATGAGTTCAGTATATAGAATATTGGCTGTTGTTAATTAGATATGAGTTCAGTATATAGAATACTGGCTGTTGTTAATTAGATATGAGTTCAGTATATAGAATACTGACTGTTGTTTATTAGATATGAGTTGAATATATAGAATACTGACTGTTGTTAATTAGATATGAGTTCAGTATATAGAATACTGGTTGTTGTTAATTAGATATGAGTTCAGTATATAGAATACTGGCTGTTGTTTATTAGATATGAGTTCAGTATATAGAATACTGACTGTTGTTTATTAGATATGAGTTGAGTATAAAGAATATTGATTGTTGTTAATCAGATATGAGTTGAGCATATAGAATACTGACTGTTGTTAATCAGATATGAGTTGAGCATATAGAATACTGACTGTTGTTAATTAGTTATGAGTAGAATATATAGAATACTGACTGTTGTTAATTAGATATGAGTGTAGTATAAAGAATACTGACTGTTGTTAATTAGATATGATTTAAGTATATACTGGCTGTTGTTAATCAGATATCATTGCAATTGTTGTATAGGGATTGAAACTTAGCTTTATTATTTTGTTTTCCTCTTTTTGTAAGTTGCTTTATACATGACCTTCCCATTAGTCAAGAATAGTTAAACTCGGATTTTCAAATCATTTTTCAGCGTCTTTTAAATTAAGATATTTCTATTTTAACGGGACAATTTATCTTGAAACGACACACTCAAGGAAAACTTGTAAATATTTGTATGGTTAGGACCTTATCAGTAATGATAACATGAATATATTGATCGAAAATGTTAAACGTAAGAAGATAACCCTGCTTTACTCCCTCATGTGATTTTGTGAAACGACCAAGTTGACAAACATATTTCAACTTGTTTCTCGTGCAGTTGTGTATTTATGGAATATTGGTGTAGGCCTATTGGTTGATGACAGAAAGAAAATTGTGTGTTCAGTGTTAGTTTGATTAAAAATAAAAACTTGAAAATTTACAAAACGTCGAACTCGTCAATCGAAGTCGTGTTTATTTTTAAGTGTCACTCGTATCAAACTCTTCCGTATTTTCGGATATTTTTTTTTAAATGAACCACGATGCAGAGGAATGTTAGTTTAAAAAGTGAAACACATACGATAGGATCTGAAAATGAATGGGTTTCGATTCAGAACCGAACTTTTACCAACTGGGTTAATGAACAGTTGTCATCGTGTGGGCGGGAAATCTCCAATCTGCAAACGGACTTATGTGATGGAGTCAACCTTGTTGCTTTGGTGGAGTCGTTGCAGGTTAGAAAGATCGGGAAAGTTTATTCGAAATCCAAAAGCAGAATTCAAATGATCCAAAATGTGAATTTGGCCTTTAAGGCCATTGCCGAGGATAAATATCAAATTAGTCAATATAGGTAAGATACGCTTTATCTCTGCAAACTCGATTACTGATGGAATTCAGGATGACCAGCAATGTAGCAAGGATTTCAAGTGTGGGGGGGGGGGGGGGGGTGTTCCGAGCTCCCCGGTGTCCCAGAAATTATCGCCTAAATACGCCACTGATGCAACATGACAAAGTGTGGAATGTCTGGCATTGTCTGACAAAAAAACCTACTCAGACTGCCCTTACTAATATATAATATATACAAAACACTGGTATAATTTAACATAGATCTTTTAATTGTGTATTTTTGTGAAGATCCAACAACCAAACATTAGATAAGTATATACACATAAATAACGGGACACAATTAAATGGTATACTACTCCTTAGTTGAATTATTCCCTTTGGCGTCATGATAATACACGTAGTTAAGAAATGCACTGAAAATTTCCCCGACCAATCAATATACCCATAATGTGATAACTATCTGAATGTATGTATAATCAAATTCATGAAGATAATGATTACTATTTTAATTAATTACCATTATACAAACAATATATATATTACATCTACTGCCTTGTAGAATGGTACTGTACAGAGTATGAGTTTGTCGGTTTACACAACGGTCTAATTGTCAGTATCGATTTGTAAAGTGTTTATGCCAGTGGTAATGTTTACACACCCACTTAATGTAATTCATCTTTTAAGAAATAAACGCCTCAAAAGATCAAAAAATTCAGCTTTTGCAATTAAAAATTGTACTTCAGCTTTGTCGTAATTTTATTTAACTTGCATATCAGTAAGAGGATAACTAAATGAAATGGAATACAGAGTGTATGACCTATGAATAATGCTATAAAGATTATGTAACACGATATGATAAAGCAGTTTTCTAATATAATATTCACATAACACACCCAAAATAAATAATACATTATCTAGGCATGCACACGGGCATTATTTTTAAAAATATTCGAATATTAATTTGAAAGAATAGAATATTCCTATATATATTATGACTGACATTTACATTATACTTACAAATATAAGTTACATAAGTTGATGGATGAAAAAAATGAATGAAATGAACGGAGTTGTACCTTATGGGCTAATGAAGATGGACATGCAGTGTGCAAAAAAATTGGTCAAGCCAGTGGCATTAGCCTCTTCTTTTTCAATTTCCAACCGTCTTGGGATCATGGTTTACCATCTTGGTGTCATGATGTCCAATATAAAGTTAGATAAATATATGAGGAAACTGTTGAGGGATGAGCTTTAGCAAGAACTTTATTTCCTCTGTTCAATTTTATCTTCTTCGCTATGAATACATTAATTGATTGAATGTGTAGACCTATACTTAGGTAACAATCTGATTAAAATGCGTACATAAAATGTTTTGTTTTTAAAAGGTTCGCCATTCACTATGATTTATGATATCCATTTTAAAATATTATGTTATATTTACATAACCAATGATTGTCCTTATCACCAATACTGAGATAATAATGACCCAATAAACTCTGAAAAAATTACACGCCCACTTAATGATTGACAGTTACATGTAGAATAGAAGCAAATTTTTACTGTTTTGTAATGTTTTTTTTTTTGGCTTTTCATTAGAATATACCGATCGACCGGATCTTGTTATGGTTATGGAAAAATAAAGGACGTATATCATGTGATACAACGTAGGCCTACACGACGCGCCTAGACCGGTCATTTGTCTTGTCACATGCTAAAATACCTTTTGATTTTATCAACCCGATTTCTTCCTCACAGTGAGGGGCTGACATGGAATATGACGAATGGGACAATAAACCAATGTGTGCTGTAATACCCAGATCGACAAGGAGCAGGCTAATGCCGTTGTCTTGGCAAAAATATCCCTCATTATACACTGCATGGCGTTGCCCATCTTTAGCCCAATTCGGTGCAGAAAGGTTTGACGTAGAACTCCATTCCCCGAAATCCGTTTTATTTTTTGTCTTTGTATAATATGGCATGTTTTTCCGTCCATTATATACAAAATTTCCATTGCTACCCACCAGTCCCGAATCGCCCATATGCCTATCTAAATATACACTCCCAGATCAACGAGATAGATATAGATAACATTCCATTGGGAACGAAGCTCAATTGGGCCATAAATTAATCTCAATTTCTTAATTCATATCATTTTATTTGGTCTTTTTTCTGATATAAGTCGAGAGATGAAAATCGGAAATGAAAAGAAATGAATAGAGCTTTACGTCCCACTCTTCTGCACCTAATTTGGGTTAATGAAGACGGATGTCATGCAGTGTGCAATGAGAGAAATTTTGCCAGGACAGCGGCATAGCCTCCTCTTTTTCGATTTCCAACTGTCTTTAACGTGCACAGCCTGTAACCTACGGGGCCTCAATTTATTGTCCCATCTGAACGATTAGACGCTTTTTTAAATGGCAGCCCCTCTTACCTGCATCATTGACAAGGGGAAACTGCATTGAAAAATCCGAAGGTATTATTTCGACCTGTATCGAGATTCAACCCTTTACCTCCAGGCAAGCGTGTAACTCACTGAGCAACCGCGACTCCCAGATAGATATGGGAAGATTTCCACATGTTTTTCCTTTGTTTTAGAATACTCTGATAAGCAGAAAATTGTGTATGTGCCGATTTTTTAGTTGATTAACCTAGATGGTAGTCCCTTAAACGTGTCTGATTATTTTATTCAGTCTTACGATACCATAGAGTAAACAAATGAGCTGGACACAAGACATATCAACAAGCTACCGAATGAGTTGTTCCACCTTCTATTATTTAGATTGCATGGATACTGAATTGATTACTGTGGCATTACGCCAGATTAATTGATTATTCAATATCCTGTTTCACAAACTGTGTATTTACCATACACAGAGTAATAATAGACCAGTCTATTTCTTATCAAATAATTATTTATTACCGTACATATCAATAATGTCTTAAATAAATATATTTCTTAAAGTTGTATTCCTCCCATGAGAATGGATCCATTATAGCATTTTGTATGGGGCTAAATTATTCTGCCTCCTCCGATATACCATGTACCATTTGTTTTCGCTTGATTTTCTGTGAGCTTATCAATAATACAAGCGATTATTTAATTGGCGATAAATGTCGGAATATACAGATTATACAGTGTCGGGATCACTGATTAGTGTCGTAATTCGTAATACACAGAATGTTTTTTTTAAAACTGACATAAGAAGGAAATCAATCGAGACCAAAAAAAGATGTCGGAATACATAGTCGTCGGATATCACAGAGTACACTATATATAAACAAGACATTCTGCCTCTTCCGTTATAACATGCAGTGCCTTGATATTCTGTCGTTTATAATATACCATACTTTAATTCAACTTTGGTTCTCAAACGAAAGAGGTGAACTATTGAAAACCATCATTGGCATGCCAATAAATATTAAATACCCACCGAAATACATACATATATATCTGTGAGGGAAATATGTTTTATATTTCAATATTTGTTTCGTTGAAATTCGCCAAGCTTAGGCAAGGCTCATAATTATTATGGATTCCCGTTTAGCTGCACATTTTCGGGACTGAAAAATGCAAAATATATACCAGCAATATGTTTCTCGCATATACCTTTTTGTCCATACATATATATATTAGTTTATGATGTGGATGAGTGGGTTTTTACTTCGAAACACCATGTACTCGCTGCTACGGCGACGGAAAAATGTTAAATATGGCTTAAAATCGTAAAATCGCAAAAGGTCGCAATCCGATGTTGCCTTCTTGTAGAGCCAAGTAAAAGTAATACTCAATAGATTTCAATGCCTTTCAGGAAATGAAGATGTAGTAAACGGAAACCTGAAGTTGATTCTGGGATTATTATGGCATCTCATACTACGATACCAGATAAGTTCCAGTAAAACAAAGGTACCACCCAAAAAGTTAATGTTAGCTTGGTTCCATTCAATACTTCCAGATTTTAACATTGCTAACTTCTCTACAGATTGGTCGGACGGTATAGCTTTACAGTAAGTATAGACGAGTTGGCTGACAAATGGACAACTAAATCAGAATAGAGTTTTTTTTATACGCCCACGTGAAATCTCTGGAAGGCACAACTCTTACTGGATTTTGACAAAACGTAGTGTTATTATTCATAATCACCCAAAAATGTATGACTGAATATTTTTCACTGATGATTGTGAAGCCAAAATTCCCTTTTAAAATCAAAGCTGAATAGAACGACTTGAATTATAATTGTCAAAACTAATTTCTAAGTTATACCAACGCAATTTGAAAGATGTTTTACCTAACACATTTTAAAGGAACGATCCAATCGTCTTTTGGGAAATTTATATCTACAGATACCATTCTAAAATTACCACGAGAAGCTAATATTAAGCTTTATCAGCTGAATGGGAATGATTATTCGATTCGTTCACTTTAGTTTAAATCAGTAAATATGTAACAATTTTTTCTTTGTGCTCTTTCAGTGCTCTTTTAGATATGTGTAGACCAGGATTATCGCCAAATTGGAGAAATCTTCTCCGCAAAAACAGGTATGTCATCGACTCTTTCTTTCATTCGAAAAAAGTGAAAAAAGTAGGCCAAGATCATGGAAACAAGTGGATCAAACAAAGCCACCGAAGTGGGTGCAGTTAACTTGCCTGGTAATCTTTCTTTTTATTTAAAAGAGTTGAAAATTGTCGAACAGCGATGACAACTGCTAAAGATCAGCTGAATATACCAATGATGATCAGTCCTGAGGATTTTGCCAGTGCTGCTTTGGATGAGATGTCAGCCATGACTTACTTGTCGTACTTCATAAAACGAGACTCACCTGGTTACTATTCAACATTAAACTGGGTTTGTCGTCAATTAAAAACTACCACCGTCAGTAATCTTTCAGTAAGTCTTCATCTTCTATATTTATGCTGCGGGCACACGAACAGATTTTGTTGCCGATTTTTGTCGCCGACACGACAAGATTATTACGTTTCCGGCTTGATTTGGAGCATTAAACCAGTATATTATTTGTCGCCGATTTTTTTTCTCGTCGAGATTGTTTTCTTCGTTTGACTCTGACGAGACAAGACTCTACAGAGTGTCATTATAAATATATCAAATAATATGAAAATAATTTCACCTAGGTTGAAATTAAAGTTTTAAAAATTCCACGAATTTTCACCTAATCTTCACTTATGTTAATAAAAAAAATAACAGGAAATATCACCATAGGCCTACTTCACTAGTCGAGATTTAAAGTTTTTAATAAAAAAATACCGGAATTATCACTTAATTTTCAACCTATAGGTGAAAATTAGATTTTTAAATTCAAAATAAAAAGTGAAATAATGTCGTATTTGAGCCATCTATTAAAGTGATAGTGCCTTTCAATACTTTGTCGGGAGCCGCGGTACGTTGGCTCAGTAAGTAAGAGGCTTGCTCGATATCCTGAAGGTCCAGGGTTCAATCCCGACATAGGTCGAGATAATTTCTTCGGATTTTTTAAACAGGTTTTCCCCCTGTCAGTCACGCATGTAAGAGGGGTTGGAATGGAAAAAAGTGTCTACTCGTTCGGATGGGACAATAAACCGAGACCCCGTGTGCTGTGCACATTAAAGATCACTCGACGGTTGGAAATCGAAAAACATTCCTATCGCCGCTGACCTAACACAATTTCTCTCATTGCACCCTGTACGACGTTGCCCGTCATCATTAGCCCACATTGTGCAGAAAAGTAGGACGTAAAACTTCATTCATTTCAATTCATATTTGAATACTTATTTTATTTTATTTATTTTATTAAAAACAAACTTGGATTGCTTCAGACACTGACTTCTATTTTTAGACTGATTGGAATGATGGGTACTATCTGTGTGGTATTGTTCAATCTATTGGTGGTAACATACCAAATTGGCCAGATATAGATCGAAATGATTATATAGCAAACTGTAAGATGGGTTAGTAAATTTTACATGGCAGGGTTGTTGCAGCAAATGTGTCTCCAGTCAGCTCCAAAGGAATTTAGGGCCCTGTTCTTAAGCTTCGAATGAAAGTTGTGCTTATTCAAAGCTTCAGGCCTGTATCAGTTTACAAGCATTATGTTGTCTTTGAAAATCAAGGTATATGTGGTGGGTGAGTTAGTGTGAACAAGGGGAAGGGATATAGTCCTTACTCTATGACGTCTACTATGAAATATCAATGTAGGTACTCTTTGAGATTTTCAACAACGTATTTCAGGAATGGAAGAAGCTAAAAGACTTGGAATAGATCCTATACTGACACCAGAAGAAATGGCCGACCCTAGTGTGGACCATCTGACAATCATGGCATATCTTAGCAAATTTCAAAATTTCAAACCGGCTGAGCCCAGAGTTGAAGTGGAAAATATTACTTTAAAGGCCGATTTCAAAAAGGTTTATCAGGGAAAAGTGGTAGGTGTATATTATAAACACCTTATGCCACCTGCTTGTTATATGCCATGTTACATACTGGAGACTGGAACGAAAAAAATAAACATCAGTTACAATGCCTTATTAGCGGCGGCGCCAGGCTCCCGAGACTGTGGGAACAAATAGTGTGAGGTCAGACTGATTATATGGGTTGGGGAGAGGTGGCGATTCAAAACATGACAGCTCTACGCATAGTCAAGAGCCCCCAACTGAACATTTGAATGCGTTCTTCACAAGAAATTTTGTGAAAAATAAAATTGATTTTGTGCCTTTTGACAAATATTTTGGGGCAAATACCACAGACTGCTTTCTTGGCGGTATGATTTCAGCGAATTGCAAGAATTGCTTAGTATCAAGAACTTTACTCACCTCTATTCGCAGGTTATAGAGACTTGGTATATCATCATTGTTCACTGTATTTCAAAATATTCCTTTCCTCCCAGAGATTGAAATTGTGTTGATGAGATTCGGGGTTTAATTTTCAGCTTTTAGCGATTTACTGAAATAATATATGTTAGTACTCTGACATGACTGTGTTTTTTTTATAGCAAGTATTCACAGTAGAAATACCCAATGATTTGGTAGAAAGGTCGAATGTAAAAGTAGAAGTAAAAAGTAGTTCAAGAAATGTTATTTGTAATCCAGCATGGAAAGGAAATAAAGGAGAATACATCTTTACACCTAAGGAATCAGGCAAACACACGGTAGGGCTTACAGTCTGACGGAATGAAATTTTCTAATTCAAAATTGGTCTTCTCTGCTCATTGACCTCAATTTCAACTATTAAAGCTATCATGCTCTAATTACACTAAAATGAATTTTTTTTTTAAGTAAGACCCCTTGGTCTGCCATATTTGCTACTACTAGTCCGCCATATTTGCTACTACGAGTCGCCATTTTTGTTGAAGAAATATGACCGCCACCCACCCAATATAAAAGCCAGAAGAGACACGCCCATTAATCGGTTGATATCTTGGCCTTGGACTACCAACATCGATAATCAAAACTCATAGTGAATCCAACTAACCTTGAAACTAGCCAACCTTGTCTTTCAAAACAATAAAAATGAAGACATTCTTATCTTAGTTTTCCTTCAGTGTTATTATACCAATGGTATCGAATGACAACTTGGAAAATGGTATGAAATGTGTCCACGTTCGCATTTTCCTTACAGGATACCCACTCTCATTATAAAGGCTATATGTTTTTTAGAATTATCGCTATAATTTGACCTACAGATTAGAAATTATTGTATACAAATCACTAGTTATGTTGAACAATTACTTACTCTCTTTGTAGTCTGTTGGGTGTATATGGGAAGTAACTCTCATTTTTCACAAAGTTATTCTAATAAAAAAATTTGAACTAATTAACACTCTTCTTATTACTCAAAATGCATCCAGTGTTTGAAGTATTTTTATGATGTATATGATGAAATTGGATTATATTTTGGTCAGTACATTCAAGGAGAGAGAGGTAGAAGTCATTAATTTCAGCATTTTTCCAAGTAAAGAAAAGAAACGTGTATATTTACAAAATGTGTGCTGGGCCTTTTGTAAAGTCTAATGTCTCAATATATCATGAAAGGCAATTGGTAGATTTTCAGGAGCAAGAATATGATTTATAAAAGTATGCCCAATCTAGCAATCATCTATTATAATGTATTTCAAAAATAATCCTCATTTTGTTTACTATCGTGAAATTTTCGTTTTACCTTTATATTGTTTGTATAGATATCAAAGTCAAGGTTGGCTATATTCAAGGTTGGTTGGTTTCACTACGATGTTGATAGTTCCAGGTCTGAATATCAACTGATTGATGGGCGTATCTCACATGACAACTGACATCACAACTATTTCAACAAATATGGCGTTTGATAGTATCAAATATGGCGGACAGGCAGTCTTAGTATTTTTGTTCATCATTACTTTTAGCATAGTTAGAGCATGATAGCTTCAATGTTCAGAATTAGATTTTGTTCTCTGATTGATCATTTCAGATTCACGTATATTATAATGATCAAGAAGTGCCAAGAAGTCCACAAGATTTTATGGTAGAGCTAGATTTATCCAGTATTTCAATAGCCAGCTCTGGTCTTTATTCCAAACTTGACGGACAATGGCAAGTCAAGGTAAACTACTTGGTCATACACAATCAAATTGAACTTAGATTACCATTTCGTTTTGTTATTATTGTACGTCGATATCAATGGAGATATCGAAACAATATTGTAATATAATTTTGATTTGATGACGATGATCCATTTAAATACAAAAACCCTTTTACATTTACATTAATATACATTGTTTTCAACTCGTCAATTAAAAAACAAATTTCACATTTGCTTGCTTCAAGTTGAACCAAGTTAATTCAGTACCATTCTAGAAAAATCAACATCCAATCATTTTTTTGATGTTTTTTATACGACCACATTATAATTTTGCTTGTGAACACAATAGAAACTACAGTTTTCATCCGATTTAAGTGAAATTTTGTGTGATCATTTATAATGATGAGATCTTAGTCAAGAGTGAATTTGATGATTTTTCGATAAACGGAATATGAGTTATTGCCCTTGACTTAGTCAAACGCGATAGGCGATAGAGGTGATAGTTTATGTCAGAATTTTATGAAATTTTGTGTGTTCATCAACAATATCTTTGTTAAATTAGATTTTTGGTATGATTTGACACAAATTGGTGACTGTCCTTTTTATTCTGAAAATGTATCAGAAAAGTGAGTGTGTCTTGCTTAGCAACCACTTGGTTTTTTTTTTTAATTCAAGCATACATGATAAGTTACTATTTCCTGAATTTAAGGAAATTTCTCAGTTTTCATAATAATACAAAAAGTAAGGTCTATAGATTGAAAACGTGCTAATTTGATAATTTGATTATTAGATAGTGAGCTTTATTCAAATATAGAATTATTTCCTGAATCTAAAATTCACTAATGAATAGTTTCCATGTAGATTTTGGTGTAGGGAAGATTTGATTCTCCCAAATGTACATGCCTTGGATGGAACAAATACTTCATTAGGAAATGGAATTAACGATCAGGAAATGCTGGGGATTTTCCGCTGTTCTGATTCGAAATTACAAAAAATATAATCCGTCCAATGAGCGAGAAGTTATATTGTTATTTTGCTAGGAACAAGGTTGTCATTTAAGTTCTGGTATACAACAATCATCTTTTGTTTATAGACACGGGAGAATTACTCTTGTAGAGTTTCATAATGGACATGAACTATCTTACTTGCTGGATTGCTAATGATATTAAACGAGACGACAAAGGGTGCTATACCTACATTATGATGGATATTCAATCCTATCGGTCTTGCTGTATTTGGCGTCTCAATCCAATGGGCTTCCCTAGCTTGGCGGAATTTCGTAGTTTCATCCACTTGCAGTTATACGCTCAATAGGGGTTAATTTAAGATCGGCTGATGAGTGCGTAAATTATTCCTTAGATCTCCTACATATTGTTTGGGACATTTCTTACATGAAATTAATTTGACTAAATTCGAGGTTTCACGGGTAACATGCTTTTGAATAGGAGACCTTTTCTTAGTGGAATTACTCGTGAAAAAGGGAGTTTCTGATATAAAGGGACACGTTTTGCTTCTATTTGACTGGCAAGGGGCATTCCTTAAGCCTGGCCACATATTCTCAAAACGACGTTAGCGCTAGGATATCCCAGAAACAGTTTTTAAGGTTAATGCCCTAGGACATCCCAGCGCCAAGATAGTTTCGAGAATACAGTGGCTGGATTGTATTTTCATCAGGCTGCAATGTTACATGTAGAACTTTGGACTGTTTTCAAGTACAAAGTAGGATGTAAAACCAATTATTTTGACTGACTTTACTTTCCAAGTACAAAGTAGTATGTAAAACTAATTACATATATTTTGACCATTATAGTTGGCAGTCCATGCTTACTCTTTACGAAACAATTCTATACAACCTTTACTACCGATTTTGGACGAGATTAACGGAACTGTCTTTCTTGAACGGATTTTATTTGTCTGGTTTATTGATAGATTTGCGAGTGTCCCTATATTCTGTTCCTATTGCAGGTTGATGTATCTAAAGCAGGAAATTCTGTTGTAACTATGATATCAACTAATCCTGTTGGTAAAACAGAAGATGTACCTATTATTAGGACTGATAATATAATAACAGGTTCAATCAGACCCCGTATTTCAGGTAGGTTCACACCGCATGTAGCTCACCCGAGATCTTAAATCTGTAGGTCGTTACCCGGTCTGGACATGTTTACCCTTCAAGAACATTTGATGCCACTTTGTTACCTGTTTGTGAACCCAGCATTTCATTCCACATTGCTAATGATATTTTATATAATGATGTTATTGTGTTGTGCGTTTGTGGTTGCGTTTTTGTTTGTTATTCTTTGCCATATCGCTCATGCGAATTTTTTGTTATGATTTAGGGCAATGGACAGTAAGAACATATGTCGATGGTCACAATACCAATAAAGATGTTAAATTTGACGTTTTTAATCCAAATTCATGTTCGTTAACTGGGCCAGATCATTTGTTAGTGGGAGAAACGGGTAAATTTTATGCAGATAGCACTGAAACTACGAACTACGAGGTAGATCTACAGTTATATGACAGCAACAATCAACCTATCAGTGACTTTGACTGTAACACAGTTAATCATCGAACGCAACTGACCTTTAGACCATTAAAGATGGGAAGATATAAAATAGTTGGAGAAATTTGTGGTGAACCCATAAAAGGTTTGTCATTTATGAACATTCTTTTTCTGGTGACCTTAAGTGGTTTAATATACTGGTTTCATATTGCAAATTATACCTCCCGCCGTGCATATCTGTTATTATGCAATTATAATGATGCATATCTGTTTTCATAAGAGAAACGGATCGCCCAAATATTTAAAGAGATTGTAAGGAGGTTTTTCAAACTAAATGTTTGATGGCGGCTCAAAGGCGAAGACGAAGGATCTCATGTGATAAAGCACATTTTACGATCAAACACTTAATAGTTTTATTAAAATTGCAGGAACCACAGACAACTGATTGAAAATTGGAACATTATAAATTGATAATTTCAGTGTCCGCAATACACATAAAAAACCTAAAAAACCTTATTACAATCCCTTTAACGCGAATCATCCAATATAATGATAACATGGTGGATATCCTGGAAACTGGTCATGATGCCCCGGCGTGAGATGGTTTTGGGCCGCTCCTCAAGAAAGCTGTTCCTTGTATGTTTAAGTTGGTCAACAAATATCGCGAAAGAACTAAAAATGTTTGTTGATCCCAGATAAAGTTCATTTGGTAAAATAGATTTATATTTTGATGTTTTACAGGAAGTCCACTGTACGTAGAAATAAATGACAGCAGCCAAATTGTTGCCTCTGGTGATGGTCTATATAGAGCTGCGAAAGGCGAGAAAGCAACCTTTACCGTGAATACAAAGAAATTGAAAGGAAACATTATAGTTGCGATAACAGGTAAATATTAATTTTTTTCGATTTCAAATTTGGAGTATCGATTACGAGCCGGCAATCTTCAGTAAAAGATGACAACAATGAGACCTCCCCTGATTGTCTCTTTGGCAAACAATTTATGGAAGTCGAATAGTGGCTTATTGATGGTCATTTTGGCATGGTGTCACAGTTTACATACGTATCAGGAATAACACGGAATTGATATTCTATTCTAATTGATCGGGGGATTTCAACATTTTTCTTATAATATAATTATAGTTCCTTACTATTGTGTGATTTTCTCTCAGGTTTTCTTTGCAATTTTTTTCTTGACTGAATAAAAATCAACAATCAACAAGACGTTTTTTCATTCTGCAGTTTTAAGATTTCTAAAAATATTTTTATGCAAAGCGTCCCCACAAAAAGATCAAAATTACCCCCAGGTTGAAAACCCTGTAATAATTGTACTTTACCATATACTGCTATTGTTCTTCGTAAATTTAATACTGGCAAACGGCTAAGGAACATATTCCACATCACATTAATAGGTCATCGCAGGTTTATCATGCTTATCCAATTGTCCCCCTGTTCCATACAACAATTACAAATCTAGATCTTCAAACAGCGTATTCCAGTGCACGGAGTATTTGAAATTTGTCTGAAATAAATTAAATCCTCACCGAAGCAAGTCACTTCCAGAATCTTACAAACTGGCGCCAAAATGTATTGTTTCATCTAGAACTTTAGAGCAATGGCGTGACTGAATTGCCCGTGTAAAGGGGAAAATTTGTTGCCCTGCTCAGCACCTGCACCTATTGCTTAAGAACTTTGGAGACGAACTACAAATTTGCATCTTTCAGTTAACAATAGAAATATAGATGTTGGTAAAAGAGAACTATATGAAGGTTATTATGAATATGAATATACACCCGTAACACATGGTGAATACAACATTACTATTACCTTTGGTGGTTTACCGGTAAAAGGTCTGTTATTGTTTTTGTTTTTTTTAATAATTTCATTTGAATAAATTAATCAACGAAATTTTATTAGTTGGAGCATAATGATTTATTTTTTTAATAATCTAAATGAAAGAATATTGTGAACTGTCCGACCGTGCCTACCCTACAATCACGCCAAATTAAGTCAATTTTTTACTTACCTAATGCATATTCAATCAAATTACTAGTACCAAATTCAAAGTGCTTATATGTTTATATAATCCCAAAGAGTACCTTTGATTTCAGGCAGTCCTTTTAGTGTTCAGGTTACAGACCACTCCTCTGTAGTGTTACTCACAGATTTATCACAATTAAGAGATGAAAATGGTTTTATGGTTTTAGATTTTAAGAAAGACACTGTTTTAAAGCTAGATGTCTCTAATGCTGGACCTGGTAAGAATCATTAAGCCAACATCACTGACTAAGACTATCTCATGTATAAACCAAAAATATATAATAGACGTGCTATCAAATCACAAATGGCGGTATGATTAAATGAAATTACCACAAGTACGTGCTGTTAAGTCACAAATGACAGTATACTGGAATTACCACAAGTTATAATTAGACGTACTATAGTCACAAATGACAGTATACTGGAGTCACCACAAATTATAATTAGACGTACTATAGTCACAAATGATAGTATACTGGAGTCACCACAAGTTATAATTAGACGTACTATAGTCACAAATGACAGTATACTGGAGTCACCACAAATTATAATTAGACGTACTATAGTCACAAATGATAGTATACTGGAGTCACCACAAGTTATAATTAGACGTACTATAGTCACAAAGATAGTATACTGGAGTCACCACAAGTTATAATTAGACGTACTATAGTCACAAATGATAGTATACGGGAGTCACCACAAGTTATAATTAGACGTACTATAGTCACAAATGACAGTATACTGGAATTACCACAAGTTATAATTAGACGTGCTATTAAGTCACAAATGGTGGTATGATTAAGTTGAAACACCACAAGTTATAAATAGTTTTCTAAGTTAAAATGACGACTCGTCTTATCTTGAGACTGCCATATATAGAAAAGGCGTGTATAGAAAGTTTGAGGTATTTTTGAAGGAATTTAGTACTCCAAATATTCAAGACCCAAATCAACCCCAGGAAATTCCGAATCTGTCCCATTAAACCAGCCTAAACTTCAGAACTCATGTAAGCACAATTTATTGCTGTCAACCATTATCGAGTTCAGTGGAATAAGAACGAAAGAACTATATTCGACCGTGCCTACCCTACCGTCATAGATATTTTATTTACATCAGAAATCCTTCAGGAAGTGTTTTGTATGGACTGTTCAGTCATTGTACTGTCAATTTGTGTTAATGCTGCAAGATTTATTCTTTGAGTTATTATTTTCAATGCAGGTCGGATCAAATCAGAAATATTGGGTCCTACTGGTAAGAAATCAGCTAAAGTTAGCCAAGATACCTCTATAGCTACTGTCAACTTCCAAGCTGAACAAAAGGGTAAGCCAGTAACTGAAGTTAAACTTGTACATCTTTCTCCAAATATCTGTAGTCAACGAGAGTTGGAACTATTAGTTTGTGCAATTCAATGTCAACTGTTTGCAATAACATTATATACTGTTTATAGGTTCCCGAGTACTTGAACTTTGTCTTTCTCCTCTTCAGGCGGCCATTATATACATCTGTATTGGAGTGATGTACCATTAGCTTGTTCTCCAATACGGGGATACTGTGATGGTCCTGTATTACCTGTCGATGCTTCTAAAGTGTGTGTTTCTGGTGAAGGCTGTGAACGAGCCAGAAAGGACGTCACGGCACAGTTCACAGTAGATGGAAGACTGGCTGGTCCAGGTAAATAAACTCTTCACAATGTCAAGCTACACGAACTTCACCCAAAAGCTTGACTGCAATAGCCGTCTCACTTATGTCACGAAATACAGAGATTTGATTGAATTATACGCTGGCTAATACATCGATTTGAGCCCTCGACAGAAAGAGCTGTAAAATTTGTGGCTTCGTGTTCACAGACTTTCTGCCTAGACCTCTGATTGGCTGTATATGCTAGCGTACAATCCAGTCAAATCAATTGATTGACAATCTTCCATGATACAAGAAAGATTAATACTGTTGTCAAGGTATAAGTTATGTATTATCTTGACATTTTGAAGATGAGAACTCAATTGCTAGGAAGCGTGATACAGCGTAACTAAGAATACTTATAACTTTAAACCGTTCTAAAATATAGTAATGATTGTCTGTTTCGATCGAACTATTGGGGCTTTCGTAGCTCAACCAAAAATATAAAATCATATGAATTTTTTTATTTTACAAAATTACCAGAGATTGAGAGATGTGCTGTTGGCTAATAAAACTTACCAATAATTGTGCACCGTGTTGCCCGACATTGACGCAGTTGAAGGTTGTTTAGACTGCAACTAGGTGTTGGGTCAGATAGTAAGATAAAACAATTTATGGACATATTTCAGGAACATGTCGAGTAGAATTAAAGGGTGTTAAAAATGACATTAATGTAAATATAGATGATATTAAATACAATAGATATAGATGTTCTTACTTATCGCATAATACAGGTATGTTTCGTATCTCACTTTTTAGAGAAGAGGGTGGTTGAAAAGAAACCTTTTTAGAAAATACACAATACATCGATGGACTGAATGTTTAACAAATACACAAATACACGTGTATTAAATAGATAGACTATTTATACTATTTATGACAGTCTCAAGAAAAGACGAGTCGTCTTTTTAACTTTCAAGCGTAAATAATTCTGGACACACACATGGGTTTGAAGGCTCAAATTTCGACGGTGAGCTGTGATCACTCCACTTAGGTGAGGTTAGTTTAAAAAAATGTTTAAGTTTTAAAAGCAGACATGTATTTATTTCTGTTGGATGCAGGTGGGTACTTACTGTATGTCTACTGGTCGAATAAACTGATACATAACTGTCCAATGAAGGTATCTATAGGAGATAAAGGGGCAGCAGCGAAAGTAAACCTTTATGGTGACGGTTTACAAGGTGGTATTGCTGGTGAAGAAATGATGTTTATTGTTGACGCTCAAGATGCAGGGGCAGGTACCTAATATTTTACTATATCTGGAACTTGATGTAGGACAAGATGCAATCATTGTGTAATTGCTACTGTACAGTCCTCCATCCGTCTGTAATTGTGAGGGGGGGAGGGGGAGGGGGAGGGGGGGGGGGTGCAACCGAACGGTTAGATGGACCTTCCCCTGGAAAATGTAGGAAGCTGGAGAATACATCTAACGCGATTTTCGAAGTGGAAAAATAATAAAGTTTTCTTTTTTATGGCCGAAAGGTACACCATGGCCCCAAATTTACCGCCCAAAACGCCACCATTATGATCGACTGTATTTTAAGTAGGAAAATGATCGAAAGGCGTTCAATAACTTCACAAAGGACCTGAAGGGCGGTCCTGATGGTCCTAACCTAATAAGTTATTGAACGTCCCTCGACCATTAATCTATACAAAAAGTCTTGATAACTATTAGAATTTATTTCCAGGGGAGGTTACGGCCAACTGCAGAAGTCAACACCACAGTGCCCAATGTGACGTAAAAGACGAAGAAAATGGTAGGTTCAAAATTTGGGTCCGACCACCTGAGCCTGGTAAATACCTACTTATTGTAACATTTGATGGTACAGATATCCCAGGTAAGAATATTGCAATCTATATATAGAATTATAGCTGAGTGGTTACTAGCCTACGAGCATTCCGATTTAAAATATTCTTAGTGTTAAATATTTTAGGGTTTGATAGGGAATCATTTTTTTACTGTCTTTGACGAATTGAAACGTGGATGTCAGTGATAACTGGAGGCGCAGAGGCAAAAACACACATTGACGCCTAAATGAAAACAATATTCATTTTAGTCCTTTTCTGTTTATGCCAAACTGTGACTTCAATCTTAACATTCAGATTATTTGCATTATAGGGAGTCCATTTGTCATTAGAGTTGGTGAGCCTCCTGATGCCAGTAAAGTGAAAGCGTTTGGTCCTGGTATAGAAAATGGTTTAATTTATAATTATCAAAGTAGATTTCTGGTGGAAACCCACGGTGCCGGTGCTGGAAAGTTAGCTGTTAGAATAAAAGGACCTAAAGGTATACCAAGGACGAATCAGATTGCTTTACTATTGAACAGCTTTTTTTCTAGTTGGGGTCTTATTCTATTTGAATCCCTCATTCATCTACTATTCTTTTTTTTTCACGAAAAGTTTTGGGCGAGCCAATGGTAAAATTCGAGCTATGTTAAGAGACAATGAAGTCTGTGGGACAGAGTTTCATTTACGATTTGTCAGGGATGGGGGTTGTACAGGGTATGCACATCATCTAGAATACAGAGAATAAAGAAGCACGCGGTAGAAATACAGAGACTGTAAGCTAGTTCCCATTTTATTTCAGCTGCTTTTAAAGCGGAGATGTTGAGAGAAGGGAAGAATGATAGAACTATTTTGTGTCATTATGATCCAACAGAGCCAGGCAAATACACCATCTCAATTTACTGGTCCGGACAAGAAATTCCTGGCAGTCCATTTAAATCTTTGATCTTTGAATCCAGAGATGAGCTCGACGATTTTCAGAGACAAAACGGAGATGCTATCATAGAAAATGATCAATGGAGGCATGAAATTTAAAGATTCAAATCTGGAAATCAGTCTGCTACTTTCAGCTGCTGGTAAATTTGTCTTTTCAAGTGATATTTTAACAAAGTCGTTTTCTTGGATACGATATAATTATTTATATATATTCTGTAACAGACTACTTACGGTTCGCTCTAGGTAGAGTCATGATGAAAGAAATTACATGAAAATGGTGGTTTTTTTTCACAATATATTTAACGTGTAAATAAATTTTTTTTACAAGAATTGTATATGACCACGCGAAGTTTGAGCGTATATTGAGGCCGCACTTCCAGGCTTCCATTTACGAATGCTTAAGTCCACGGCCACCACTCATCTATTTGAACTGTGTCGATTGTAAAGCAATGGTGATGTCTATAGATTGATTTGGTGCTGTTACTTGATTTAATATAACTTAAGTTGGTATTGGCCCAAAGCGTCCGGTAAGATCTAATGCGCAACTTTAAAAAATATATTTTCAAAATGCTGTATTGTTTGATGAATGTAGGCCTTACGGATACTCTTTTGATGTGTTTATTGATTTACTGCATTCCACTTGAAATATAAGCTGCATTTCTTATGCCCTAGATTATGCCCATTCTACAGGCTTATTTTGAGTGGGTGCATTCTAAGATTTTCGTTACTGTGCTCCTATACATGCTGCTTATTCAACAGAATTTATATTATATTTATCATTGTATACAATTTGAAATTCTTGCACCTCCATTCATGTGGATTTGTTACATTTTTAAACAGTTGGCCCTTTATATCCTGATCAGGAGGTCAACAGCAACTTTGTATTTAAATGTTATTTTATGTTCACAATTGTTTTGTTTTTTTAATTATGAATGTTGATTTTCCACTTAGTCAATTACATGTACTTTAAACCAAAAATGCTATTATTAAAAGGGGGATAACTCCATGATATATTTTGTTTTTGTCCTTAGATCCATCATACCTTATCCGGCCCCCTATACATAGAGGATTTCATTCACTAAGCAACTGAACTAAGCCTCATTGCTTGAAATATCTAGTACAGAAGATTGCCCAACTCAGATGCGTTATAAAGAGAATCCAAACCTGCTCAGCTGTATGCCAATTTTCCCAGTTTCAGCTTATTTACTGTAAAGGTAACTTTATCAATTGCCCAAATATAGTGTAGTATACATTTACTATAGGACTGAAAAAGAATAACCATTTAGGAGCCATTTCTTTCCAAATCTCAAATGAAATGAACTACCGGTACTGGAAGTAATAAAGAAATAAAAAAGAGTTGTATGTCCTATTTTTCTGTATCTATTTGAGATTTGAAAAATTAGACCCTAACTGAAGTGGCTATATTAGAAAAAAAATTAATTAGACTGGGATGAAGTGGTATTTAAAGATATACTACCTCCTAGGATGACCAAAAAAAATGAAATTTTCAAAAACGAGTTTTTGTTCATCAGTTGTTCACCTGGTGGCAAAACTATACAGCAGTCTATAATCCAATAAATCTGTAAAACTAAGTAGTAATCTATAAAACTTAATTATTTTGAAACAAACTTAGAAGCATTTTTGGATAATTACTTAGTTTAATCTCTTATATAGAGATTTTATTATTTAGTCATGGCTCCTGGTCAGGCTAACTAAACTTTATACTTTACATGTATGTCCATTTTGAGAAGTAGTATTACTTTCAAAATCTTTGATACTGTAACTAAAATCTAGGTCAATCAGTTGTAAAGCTATATCCCATGAACCATCAACATCTTCACTATCAAAAAACAAAACAATTATGGTCTACAATTTATATGAATTTCTTACACACATGACAAAATCAAATAACATAATATTAACAGATGATAAACAATTTAAATGATCAATATCTCAAAGTGATTTCTTTAAAGGGGCTAAAATCCTACAAATATACTTCTAGAATACAAGTCACTTAGGGGCTTTTGAAATTAGACTCAGGTATAGCACTCTATACAACCCAATTGATCAAGAGCCCAATCAATCTGTAACCTTGGATCAAAAAAGTCTAAGTACTGTTATTTGTCTCACTAATTTGGACTGATTCAGATATCAGGTAATCATCACAATGAGAACTATATTCACTGAAGTTTGATCATTTGTTGAGGTAGGAGGTAGGATATTAAAAAGACACCCTTGACCATCTTAATTCTTAATAAATAGGGCGTATCCTATTCTGAATAAACCTTTCTGTAAAACCAAATGAAAAATTGCAATAAGATAGAAAACTGAATTTTTTTTAACTTGCTTAGTACATGAAGATTAAAAATGTAAAAATATAATTACAATGACAAATATTTTCACTGTTGGTTCTGCAAGACTTTCAGCTCATTATTATAAGTCACTGTGTCATGATTTAGCCCCTTTAAAGTGAAATCACTAATTATGTTAGAATGTCATGAGCACGAACTTCAACAAGTCTTTCCATTTGTTTAACATCTTCGCACCATTGATCTAATTTTGACTGCATGGTAGAGATTTGTTCTGTATCAAGAACACGAGGCTGTACCCAGGACATATGAACCTTTTGGTCAACTTCATCAATAGATCCTTTCACTAAACCTAAGCTGAGAGCTTTCATTACTAACAGTTCAACTTCAGGACCAGGAATTCGGGCACTACTGGAAATATCAGTGAAGGTCAGTTGTCGGTCAGTTGCAGGTCTTCTGAATGTCATTTCCATCAAACATAACAGAGAAATTTTTTGACGCATCGGTATCTCATTAGCAGCCAGATCAGGTTGACCCTGCCAATGCTTTTTCAATTCATCAAACTTTGCAATGTTGCCAGAATTGAACGCATACAATAGATCTACAATCCAAGATTTATCAGTTGGCTTCAGACTTTCTAAAATTGGATGAGCCAGTAGTTCACCAAAATTATAAACTCCTTCCCCCAATATTGCTGCCAAACCTAGGTTGTATGCTCTTTCAACTTGTTCACCACTTGGAATTTCAGCAAGTTCTGTACAGCCAAGGAACCGTAGGGCATTTTTGTAGTATTCTGCATGGTTTCCCACCAACTTGTAATAGTTGCTCGACAGCTCATAAAATGTGCTATGAACTGAAGTGACACCATCCATGTTATCCAACATAGCAGAGCATTCTTCAACGATAGTCTTGGTTCCATCAAAATTACGATTTTTTAGTTTAATACTTCCTACAGTTGTGTTCAGAAGAATAACAGCCTCTTGATTTCCTTTCAATTTTTCTTTCAACTTTTCCAAGAATTCTAGAGAAGATTTGACATCAGGAATTTGCTTGACCACAACAACACCAATCTGCATCAAAGCTTTCTGGTTAATTCTATGTTCAAAGTCTGAGATGAAGTTTTCATACATCTTGACAAGCCCGTCACCTTTGGAAAATGCAGGGTTTTTGACAAAAGTCAAAAGATGAAGAGTAAGTTGGTGCCAAAGTTTTTTGTTATAGAGTTCCTCAATTTTACCCCATTCTGTAGCTAAATCACCTGTACTTTTTCTCTGTTGTTCGCTTAAATAAGCACCGACATCTTTAGGGGCAGACGACATGGTTAATTCGTCAATTTCAGAGAAAATTCCTTAATTTCGATCTTAAAGCGTGATTCAGTAAAATTGAAAACTTCCGGTAATAGCTATTTTTGCCTTTTTCTGTGAAGAAAGAAGAGCTGAAGAAGGGGAGACAATATTCATGGCATTAAAAAGATTTTTTCCTTTGTTTAATGAACAATAATTTTAAAACATAAATAAAATGTCAAAATCTATTATACATGAGACAAACTGTAACATCGAAATTAAGAATTTTATTTAACTGAACAGAAATATATAATTTTCTCTTACAAATAATCTGGCGACACTACACAACAACGCGAGTTTTGGTGACGTAGTTCACATAGAAGTGTTTGGACAAGTTTTTGAAAATAAATATTGAAGTGATATTGTCAAATTCAATTGACATAGGCCTTTAAAATGTCTCAACAGGGAGCAGCGCTGCAGACCTACAATAATGAACTTGTTAAATGTAAGATTATAATTGATTGATTATTATGGATGATGCCAGTGATAAGAATTCTCAAGACCTACAAATCTGATTCTTGTTATTTGTTACCGTTGTCAATGTTGAATGTTGTTTTCCATGGAAACTTTATTATCACCAACCAGATGGTTGAAATTTCAAATATGTTACTAAGAGAAAAATCAAAGCAAGGAATCTATAAAGCGAAATGAAACAAACACACTTTAACTATTTAATATCTGAGAAACATCTAGACAATGTAAAAAAAAAAATCTTTTTTTAAATTTTAGTCCAATAGGTTTAGACTATTCCGAAAAGCTATAGATCTGCAAATATTGTGAAAGATGGAATAATTAGAATAAGTAGGCCTAAATGAGTCAGCTTTGTTCATTCATTAATTATAGGTATTGAAGAATTGTGTAGTAAGAGAGATGAACTTCACAAACAAATTCTTCAAGATGAAGAAGAAAAACAGAAATTACAAAACGATCTTCGAATTTTGAGTGAAAAATTAGCAAAAGTTAATGAAAGTTTAGCTAAAAAGATGGCAACTAGAAATGAATTTGATAGAACTATTGCAGAAACAGAGGGTGCATACAAAAAGGTACTTGTATTATAAAAGTTGTGTATTAGTATTATATTCATTTTTGAATAATTTTTGTCCCAAGATTTTCAGAATTATCCGGTACCCAAATGACTAAAACAGGTGAAGAATGGCTGAGTGCTGAGTTAATTAGGTGTTCAAATGACTTACTATACTGAACAGATTTTAGACAAAGTCATGCACAATCAAAATTGTTATTTTTCTTTATAAATATGATTTTTAGACTTTTAAAAGGCCCGTTTATGACATTCAACTCATAATATCGGTTGCATTTGATTTAAGAGTTGTGAACTTTGGGAACTGTTCGATGTCCGTGGGAGCAAGTCGTAAGTTATGCGGAGGAAATTCGAAATGCACTTGCAACATGTACCAGAGTTCTGTATAAAAACAAACTGCCGACTTCTGAAAATTCAGTTGCTGTGAAGACAGATCTCATGGTAGGTCTAACCTCCCAACATGAACAAGCCATGGGACGATTAAATGCCGGACAATGTGTTCAAGTCATTGCCAATGCATTTACGAACCATTGAAATACTTTGAATTCGTTACAACACCACCAACAGCATTGATGACCGTCCATGTAGTGGTTGACCCTAAGTCGCAACACCAAGACAAGATCGCTATATCCTGTGACAACATCTGTATGACAGATTCACCAAAGTGGCACAGACAGCTCGTCAGACCATTGGCAACCATCAACAACCCATTAGTGCTGATATCGTTCGAAATCGGCTTGCATTCCAGAACCTGTCTTGTCACCGTCCATCCAGGGGTCCAGTGTTCACTCCCCATCATCGTCAGCAACATCTTGCGTTGGCCACCCAACGACAAAATTGGCAGTGTTCTCAGATGAAAGTCAGTGGCAAGGTGTGGTTGAAAGAGACCCGTGGGGAGGACTAAGCATTATGGTATGGGGTGCAATCGGTTTCAATCAGAAACCAGGTTGTCCAACCCCATGTTGTACTGCATTTTGCAAGACGCCTAAACCACACCTTCCAGCAAGACAACTCCCGTCCACACACTGCCATAGTCACCAGCACCTTCCACCAATAGCATAACATCAGAGTAATGCCATGGCCCTCACTCAGCCTGGACTTAAACCCAACAGAACACTTGTGGGATGACATCCAAAGACTACTAAACCAGATCCAACCGCTTACAAGAAATGCAGCGGAACTCAGTGAAGCTTTCCTAAGTATTGGGGTGCAGATTCCAGTGGGGTCTGTAAATCGTTTATATGTCAAATCAATAACTTGAAAGACACTCAAACAATCCTTTGTGCCAAATGTGGTTGTTTTCTTACAATTATCTATTGTTTTATGGAAATTTGAAGAAACAATTCACTATTTTCTATGCTTTGCGACATTTCTTTATCTGTTCATTATAGTTGCCCATTTTCAAGTGACAGGTTCACCATCTGTTTGACCAATGGTACCTTAAGTCTCAGAAATGGGATTTTTATAGCTGAGTTAATCAGTAATAGTGATCACAACTTAACATTCACAACTCACTGTCGAAATTTGAGCCTTCAAATCCATGTGTGTCCAGAATTTTTCTTGTTTCAAAGTTAAAATGACCTGAAAATATTTCTAAAATATGCTATTTATAGCTATGCTTGATCAAAATGAATTTGTTTTAAAAGGGTTAATTAAGAGTACTAATTGTTAATTAAGCAGTATGATCGGAATGTCCCTTTAAAATGGCACAAATATTTTTTTTTCTATTGAGAACATCTATTTGTATTTATTTTTTTCAGATTTTGGAGAGTTCCCACACATTACTGAATGTATTAAAGAAAGAATCTCAAACATTAAAGGAAAAGTCCCATGTCGGATCACAAAGAACATTAACTCAATCGTAATCTTTAGAAACTTAGATGAATTATAATGAACAGCTGTTGTTTTATTACCATATCAAGAAAGTGTGTCTCTATCCATAGATGCCATTCTTGTTTTGTCAATGATAATTATTAAGATCATCAATATATATGGCCTTTAGAAATTAAAAATGACTTTGCCAACAAAGCCAAAACATTTTCACTCCATTCTTATTTTTGTGGCAAATCACGTGACATATTCAGGAATCAATTACAGACCATTATTTGCTTTCAATATGTTGTGTATGTTTTTTTATCAAATATTCCAACTTTTTTCTTTTCATTAATTGAAAAGGAAATAAATTTATGTCTTGCTATTTTTTGGTTAGTAAATCGCCATATGAAACTATTTATGGTTCTTACATGGAAATTACACAAACGATCTTAGTTCACAGCCATTGAGTTGAGCTTGTGATTCAAAATGGTTGTAAACTATGTTTGAGTGTATTATTTCCATGTAAGAACCATATGAGTAAATAGTGATGGTCATTTGAATAATTGTAACACAGCAGTTCAAGATGACTTAAAATTTTGATATCATGATTTATTTCTTAAAGATTTTGTCTACAATTTATGAAAAGCAAATTGTGAAAGGTGAATACAACCAATAATACTGGCAGTAAACCTTGTTAACGTATCATCCATATTGAATCGAGAATGAGGAACTGAAAGCAAACATAAAAAAGGTACCTTAGTGTCACTGCATAGAATGGCCGGCTTGATGTCTTTATTCCTTTTCCAATACCACTAACTCCAACCTCAAAACATGAAAACAAAATCTAGACTTAATAGTACTTAATTTTAATTTTTGGACAACTGAATAATGTAGAAACTGACATCAAGAGTAATAATAATTTAATTTGTAGATAGTGGCTTCACAAACCCCTTATAGCCTTTATATAAAACAATTGCTCTGGATTTTAAAGTAAATATTTACTGTGATATGTACTATAATGTAAATAAAACAAAAATTTTTTAGTCTTAGATTTTTCATCTTGTTTATTACGCCCACATTATAATGTGGTGATTCCAAGCCGCCCATCCTCGCAGCCCCGAAAGCAATTTTTTGGGGCAAAAATCTCATAACTAGGTTAAAGATTTAGATATCTTGATGAAGGGTTGAACAGATGAATTGTTGCCCTTAACTAAGTCAAAACGCATCAAAAACGCATAAAATTTGGTGTAATCATATATAATTATGTATTTGATATATATATTGCATTTGACTTAACAGTTTTTGAGTTTTTTACCTTTATGTCAAATTTGTTCATGCGCTCAATAGAGTCCAGTTTTCCGTTCATTTGAAACTTTATGTGATCATTGGTATGGGTATTTTTTTTTTTTTTTATTGTTCCAATGGCCTTATTCTTAACCAATCAAAGGGTGTCATGTATGAACTATTTGTTGACAAGGACAAATTATGGGTCAAATTATTTGTACCCCAGTCTTTTGAGGCTGGCACCGCCATTGTGTAAACAAACGACCTTATAGATGTATATATTACAACACATATTTAGGAAAATATACAATTTAGATTTTACAACATGCAAATCACGACAAATTTGAAATAAAAGGTTATAGCAAACAATTTTATTACACTAAGAGCAATTTGAAGAGTTAAATATTGATCTAACAGAGAATGATATAAGAGAAGTCTTTAAAATATTACATTTGTATAGATGCTAAAATAAAATAAGAATATTCATATTTTCAAATACAACTTTATATGAAGTTTGTACTTCAGATCTGGAATCAGTAGAACATCTCTTTATCTATTGTCCATATGCTCGTGAGTTCCGGGGCCATTTAATAGTAATAAATGGTATTAATATTCAATTTAATAATAAAGCAATTCATTTGGGTATAGATCAAAATCAGTTTGAAAACAATAACCAATATCAATTAATAAACTACATTATCATTCTAGGCAAATTCTTTATTTTCAAATGTAAAAACCAAAATCCAAAACGTTCACTGACTAAATTCATTTCTTTTATTAAAACACGGGCTATCATTGAAATGAAACAAAATCAAATTTATACCGACAAATGGAAGTATATTTTCATCCAGCAACATCAATATATCTTGGTGTGAGTGTTCGTAATCACCCAAGGATGAACCCTATTGAAAATCAGAAAAATCAGAAAGATCAAAAAATATGTAGTATGAGTTATTGCCCTTGTTCTTGTAAACGCGTTCAATTTTTAGCTCGTAAACACTCTAGAAGGCACAATTCTTGACGGATTTTGACGAAACTGGGCTTGAGTGTTTATTATCACCCAAGGATGAACCCTATTGAAAATCAGAAAAAATCACTCTCAATATTATTCAGTATCGTCCTTAAGAGTTCAAAAGAAGTGTATGACTGAAGGTTGGATATTTCATACTGGTGATTGTTACTGTACTGCTAAATATTTTTATTCAAAATCAAAGCTGCCAGTGGGTGTATATTACTTTGCCTGGCAAGCCATCTTTAAATTTTGGGTTGTTAGCACATTTACCACTCTGTATAGGATTTGTTATAATAATAGCCTACATGTTGTGAGTAAATTTAGGTTCCCATTTTGAGAAAATGTATAGATCATATGCCACACTTTTTCGTCTTCATTAGCCGAATTAGGTACAGAAGAGTAGGAAGTAAAACTCCATTAATTTCATTTCCATTTGTTTTCATACTCTATCATGCCTACATCTAACAAACTTCACTTGTAAAACAAACAACAGGCTTTACGGAGTGTAGATATCAGTAAAATATCACACTAAAGATTACTTTTTATCAACAAAATCAATTCATTTGCACAGCCATGGCTGATTGCAACCACTAGACTATCAAGAACGTTCTGTATAATAAATGAATCTGTTGTATTGCCACAGTTGAGCTTTGAAGTGATAAGCATCAAGTTGATTCACAGAATTGGAAGTTATACATTTAGTCCTCTATTTTGGAAAATATTTGACCTTGACACCAATAAAAAAAACTCAATTTAGAGGTAACGTTAGATCTAGTTTATACTATATACATTTTTTTCTATAAATGGTTGATTTTTTTTAAGTCAATTTTTAAATGACTCACAATTCGAAATATAAAATGTATAAAATTCTCGAGCCACAGATAACTGTTTTTTTGTCGCTCGTTTTAAGACTTTTTGAGATCAAACCGGAACAAGATTGACTCAGCCAGCAACAGCAAATTTTGTCTTTTATTTGGCAAATATTATTCATGATAGAAATCCTCCTTTTGAATTTAAGTTTTCATATCGAATTCGAAATTTTTATTTTGAAATTTTATTTTAAAGAATAATGTAGAATTGAAAAATTTAGTTAATAAATTCAGGATAATGTCTCATGGAATCGAGGCCTGGCATTGTCCGAAGCTTATTTGACACTTATTTGTTGACAACTTGCTTGAAACTGTCTGCAGTAGATGAGGTGAGGCCAGCTAGACACCCCCAACTGAAGTCATTTGACCGAATTCAATTTTATTATAAGCCCACATCTCTCTATGTGGACGTATATTGTCGGCACCCCTGTCCGTCCGTCGGTCCGCTCGTCAACATTTGCTTATAAACGCTCTAAAAACTAGATTTTTTGATGGAGTCAAATGAAATTCGGTATGTGTAGACATATTCATAAAGATCAAGCTATTTTCGACCGTTAGAAGTAGAGTTATTGCCCTTGCCCAAAAATCTTGAATATGCTATTACTCTCGTAGTTTTCAACCGATTTTGATGAAACTTAAAATGGATGTTTCGTTTTTATCATCTGCATGCCGTGAAGGGCGTATATGGCTGTGGTCCACTATCTTTGAAAACCCAGAGGTTGTCCCTTTAAAACGTAAAATCTTAATACCATTGTACAAACCCCGAAAATTATGGAAGACCGAATAGCCCAATAGTAAGACGTCTCAATCCTTAATCCTTAGCCCGTAATTCTTAATTCCTAATCCGTGCATTGTTGATCATTTTTGACATTTGTTTCACAAAATAATCATTAGTTCATAAAAATCAAAATTCGTTCTCTAAATCAATAATTTGCCAAGTAAAATTTGTATAAGCATAATTCAAGGGGTTTTCTTTTACTATTAAAACTAAATTAAAAAACACGCGTCTCTTTACATTTCTTCGGTAACAAATCTTCAAATACAAATCTTCAAATACAAATGTTGTTTAACACTTCACCAAATACATTTCTGGAATATCAAACAGGGCCATCCGTCTTCTTAATTGTGTGCATTGAAATTATGACGAAAAGCGGCGCTGATCGTTGTTAGCTTATCTGATACAGACTATCGATTCGGATAGTGACGTAATGCCAAACGGAATGTAGTCAAGAGTTTCGGATACATGGAGCCAATGGCGATTGTAGAATCAAGATTTCAAATTCAAAATTAAAATTTCAAATTCAAAATTGAAATTTCATACTTAAAATCAAGATTTGAAATTCGAAATATTTTTTTCAAATTCAAAATTATTTTTTCAAATTCTAAATTCAAATTTCAAACTCAATATTCAAATTCCAAATTCAAAATTATTTTTTCAAATTAGAAATTCAAAAATACAAAAACATGTCGTATTTGCGCTTCCGTAGACTAAGGATTAAGGATTAAGACGTCTTAATATTGGACTGTTCGGTCTTCCATAGAAGATATTTATAAGATATATGACAGTTTATTTTGAATGTGATTATACCATGATATATTACAGAGCATAAAGAATTGAATTGACAAAATGTGGCCGTTGTGGAAAGCAATAAGCTTATTGATACCATTACTGTGCTCTTTATACCACTGTCGATTGGAAGATGTTATTTTCTCTCAGACATTTGGCATCGAAGACATTCCAAACGATTTGGAATTATTATATCATGGCACGAAACCAAGTCTAATATCCTGTGGAATTCAATGTTTGGATTTCCCAAGTGCGTTTTCATTCATTGTCTGTAGAGATTCCAACAACACTATAGATTGTTATTGTACTGACGTCACTGATTTTAGCGACACTGTTGCAGAACCGCCCTGTTGGGTTTACACAAAGGTGAGTAAAGCTATGAAAACATTGGTAACGTTTTCGGAAACATGAGCAGCATCTCGGCAACATACTGAAGTAACACAGACCAGGATCTCAATATATATGAGGATAGAGAGGAAATATTTTTGATGGTTTAAACTGTCCAGTTCATTTGTACTTTCAATAAATCTGAGGTGCTGGCTGAACACAACCCGTAGAATAAATTCCTAGAGCCCAAAACATGGGTCCAAAAAGGTCATTATTCAAACGTCGATTAATATGCCCTAATGTTTCAAATTTGATACAGCCAATAATTCTAATAGCTCGGTCATCCTTGTCACTTATAGCTAATAAAATTTAACAATGCAAAATGTATATCACGAAACGATGCCATGACAGTGGTGTATTTAGGGGCCAAATTATCCGCCTTACTAGATTAGATAAATTTTACAAGGGATTCCCAAAATATCTAGTGCCCTATTTAATCCAGAAAGGGGAGCCGGGGTGCTCGGATGCCCCCTCCGTCGATGAAATCCTAAACTACGCTACTGGACATGAATCTGGTATTTCGATTTCGATTATTATTATGCAAACTATTTGATTAATTGGTGTTTCTAATGAATGCTCGCAAATTCTTAATCCTATCATTATGTTCTTATTGCATATAATTAAGGGTTTTAACCAATCATAAATGGCCATGTATGTACAGTCTGGATAAACAAAAGACTTTTTTACATTTCTTGATCGGTCATTCATTGAAATTCTGCTGGTAATTCTCTTCTAATTTAGCTAATTATGAATTAATTATGGACATGTGAGACAAACTGGTATTTTTCCAATTCATTACAACACCTCTACTTTCTATTCATATTAGTATTAGCATTTTCATAAATGAAAATAATGGAACCCATCTTTGAGGGGAGCAGTTTTCCAAAGAATTCATTCAAACTTAACGAGGTATTAGTATTCGACAGACATTCCCGTTCTGTTTGGTGTACCACAAGGTTCTGTTCTTGTGAATAGCCTAATCGTAAATAAACCACTAACAAGTATTGCCTCCATATATGACTTGTGTAAGCACCTTTTCTTTGATGCTACTTGATGTCAGTCAACACCTGCGTTTCATTACACATAACATTACGAATTCACTGCCTATTAAGATAAACTATCCAAAAGTGTTCTTTAAAAAAAAAAATCTTAAAACTTATTTGTTTACGATTCTCATAATTTTGGTAACTGACTAGGTACCTCGATATTTGTACTTTAGAAATTTGGATATACGATTTGCCAACGACAATGGAGACCGAAAAAATGCAACAACGAAACGAAATTGTAATATGATATTTATACTGTAATTACTAAATTACTAACCTGAGTTTACATCACATCACTTCATTTTGATTATATAATATCCAGCAACTTCATTTTCATATCGATAACAAAATTGACATTTTTTTCGGCAACATTTGTACTTGTTGCCGACATATTGTACACACTTACAACTATTGCAACGACCTGGCACCTTCGTAAGTGCAGTGTGGACAGAACTAAAGTTCACCATCCGTCATTTCTCTTGATGCGAATAAGAAACGTAAGTTGCTTAAGTTTTGGACATAATTGATATATACTGTAGTGATTTATATCCTATTAAATTTCAGCCTAAGTGTAAAAATGGGGGATATTTTGATGGGAAACGATGCAATTGTGAAGATGGTTTTATAGGACCATTATGTGAAATTCATCATGGTTCTAATACTTGTAAGTATGATTTACATATTGGTTGAACTGATTCTGCAAGACATACATACATGTATAATAGGTTTACATGAACCCCAGAAACAATTGAATAACAAACGAGAGGGTACTCTTTGAAATTTACTTTTGATTTTGAGAGAAAAATGTGAATAAATTTGTGAAAATATCTATCAGTCCAGTCGTTGGCCAAATAATTGATTTGTTACTTTGCAAGTTTTTAAAAAGGATCTTGTTGCGAAGGCATAATGAGACTGTTATATTGCTTATTAATCTCACTCGTATACTTAATTGGAGTTGCTTTTCCTTTATGGACTATGTTTTTCTATGATGCGTATGAATACAAGAAAGTAGTACACACATGTATGTAACCGCCATGATGTCTGAATTTGATGATTGGAGTTTGTTTGTTTGTATTCGATTCTTCCTGTCCTGCTTGTGCTACGCTTGGCCGTCCTTACGATACAACATAATTGGCGACGAGGTAAACAAGTTTGATACTACAAAATGGATTCTCCTACATCGGATATGCCTACATTATTCCGAGAAACTCTCACATCGTTACCTGCATACAGTGACGAGCCTGCTGCACGTAATACATTCTACAATTACAAACCAAGTATACCACTACCTCCAGCCTACAAACCATCACCAGGTAAACCTACTATTGAATGGAGGGTGTGGGAGCGCATGTTTACGAATTATTTAGAGCTGATTTCTGCAGAAAGTATGCTAGATAGAAAGAGAAGAGCTTTATTGATTCATTGCTTAGGCACTGAGGGCCAAAGAATTTTCTACAATTTTCCCTGTCCAGGTGACACATTTAAAGAATCTTTGCAAGCGGCACGAGAATATTTTCAACCAGAATTGAATACGGTTTCTGAAAGGTCAAAATTTCGCGGACGAAGCCACCAACCCGGCGAAACTATATATGAATTTGTCACTGCTTTGCATGGTTTAGCCTCTACATGTAGTTTGGGGATTATGGCCGATGAAATTATACGTGATCAACTTATTGAAAAGACTAACAATCGGAAAATTCGTGAACGCTTGTTAACTGAAGGTTCGGAAATAAATTTACAACGAGCGGTTGAACTTGCTCGCTCCATTGAAGCCGGCATACGTGAATCGAAAGTGCTTACTGGTACTACGGGTACAAATTCTCCTCCAGGAAATGTTAATTCTTTGAATACAAAGTCTAAAACTAATTTTTCACGTAATCGCAAATCGGAAAAATCCGGTACACAGAATTCGTCTAAATCTGAAAAGAAAACTTGCTACAGATGTGGATCCCCAAAACATCTCGCGAATTCTACCGATTGTCCAGCAAAAGGTGTTATTTGTTCAAAATGCGGTAAACATGGTCATTTTGCAAAAGTTTGTATGTCTGCACGTGAAAAAGATTCGGTGAATACAATTGACAGTTCAAGTTCTAGTGAAGAATTAGGCACGTGCGAAACAGATCAATGTAAACAATACACTGTAAAAACTCGTGATCAAAGTAATGTACACACTGTAAGAAATGAGTGTCAAATTCAGATGGAAGATTCAGTTACGGATCCTGTTTTCATATTTACGGTCAATACTGCTGCTAATACTAAATTATACCGTATGTTTCATATTTCTACACCTACTGGAGAATCATCTGACGTAAATATGTTGCTCGATACAGGTTCGGCAGTTACAACTTTGCCTCATAAAATTTACCAACAGCATTTCTCTACTGCCTTACTTTCTAAACCTGTTATGAATTTAACATCATATCAAGGAAATGCTATTGATGTTGTTGGGTGTATGCAAGCTGCTATTGACTTTGAGAATATAACTGCAAATGTGACTGTATTTATTACATACGGTGATACCGCTCTTATTGGTATGGACGTAATCAAGAAATTGGGTCTTGTGATTTCTTCAAACTCTGTACTTGTCAATACAGTAGTGGACTCATTTGTACATAAAGTTATGGTTGATACTAATGCTAAACCAGTGCTACAAAAGTTGCGCCGTTTACCACTAGCTGTACGTGTATATTTATCTTGGTATCCTCTTCTTTCAAAATGGAAAGTTCCATCGCGCACATAAGAGAATTGCAACCCAGGGTAGAAAAGCGCTTGGCTCTCTCATCTCTATGTTAAAATCCTCTTATTTAAATACATCTAGCAAATGCTTGTTATTCAAGTCAACGGTAATATCTGTACTTTCATATGCATCCGAGGTTTGGGGTCTGCTTCCTGGTAATTCTTTAGAAAATATTCAAAACGATTTCGTGAGGTACATTCTCCGTCTAGGAAAAGGCACCCCGCTAGCAGCAGCATTGGGAGAAGTTGGTCTTTTCCCATTGTCAATTTTGCGCAAAATCACGTCTCTTAAATTCTGGTATAAAGTCGTTTGTTCTGACAATCCTTTGATTTTTGGTGTATATAAAATTCTATGTCAAGATGAAATGAATGGCAAGCGTAATTGGGTTTCTGGTATTAAATTTCTTTTTAACGAACTCGGGCTAACATTTGTCTTTGAGAACCCTCAGCTTTTCAACCCATCTGAGATTAAAAGGCGAATTGAAGACCAGTATCTTCAAACTTGGCATTCGAATCTCGAGAATTCCAGCAAGCTCCGGTTCTATAAAAATTATAAATCTTCATTCGAGTTCGAATCGTATCTTGATGCAAACATCGGTGACAAATTCAAATTCCTTATTTGTAAATTTCGTGTCGGAAATCTGAAACTCCATATTGAAATAGGTCGTTTCAATAAAACTATTCGTGAGAAGAGATATTGTTTGTGTTGCAAGTCTAAGTACATTGAAGATGAATTTCACTTTCTTTTATGTTGTCCAACTTATAATATAATTCGCCGTCAGTTTTTCCACCGTCAATTCTGGTCATTTCCATCTTTATACAAAATGAACAGATTAATGACCCCACAAACAGATAGAGAACTTTTAAATCTAGGTAAATTTATCTTCCAAGCTAATTCCATGAGAAATCAACTTTTATATGAATAATGTATATGTAATTTGGTTTGCCTGTTGGTAAATGTGTACATTGCAATGTTTTTCTTTTTTGGTTTTTTACTATTTTTTTTTGCTATATTGTTATTGTATATATGTTCGATTGTTCTATACGGCTATAGCATGTAATTGCTTCGCTTTAATAAAAAACTATAAACGTGATAGTGTTAAATCTGAACTGGAACGCTTGGAAAAATTGGCTGTTATTGAAAAATGTGATGCTTCACCCTGGGTTTCTAATATTTTAGTCGTAAAAAAGAAAACCGGTATTCATTTGTGTTTAGATTGCAGAGAACCGAATAAAGCGATTGTTGTAGACCAACATCCACTACCTCATATTGATGACTTTAAGGATGCTACTGTTTTCAGTGTTATTGACTTGCAAAAGGCTTATCATCAGGTACCACTTCATGAGTCCAGTCGTAATCTAACCTGCTTCATAACACACGAAGGAATGTATCGTTTTTGTCGTATTCCTTTCGGACTTGCCTCTGCACCTGCTTTTTTCCAAAGGATGATGTCAACAATTTTAGGTGACTTGCCAGGTGTAAAATGTATTCTGGACGATATTGCTATTTTCGGTGGTAATATGGAGGAACACGATCAACGATTGAGTTCTGTACTCCATAGAATAAATCAACATAAGTTACAATTAAATCTGAATAAGTGTAGATTGCGACAATCCAGTATAAACTTTTCAGGACATACTATTTCAGCTTCTGGAATATCACCTAGATCAGAACTGGTAACAGCTATTATTTCAGCACCAACACCGACTGATGCTACAGCTCTTTTATTGGTACAGCTACTTACTACTCTAGGTTTGTTCCTAATTTCAGTACAATAACAGAACCCTTACGTCGGTTAACCAGGAATTCTACAAAATTCCTGTGGGATAATTCAGCTGAAAAGAGTTTTACCAAACTTAAAGGACTTATTGCTGCCAGTCCAATCCTTGCTTCGTATGACTCTACATTGCCAACTTACATCTCTACTGATGCTTCGAATTACGGTTTAGGAGCAGTTCTTACTCAACTTCATCCGGAATTTGGTGAACGTACTTTTGCTTTCGCATCTCGCACTCTAAGTGATTGTGAACAACGTTATTCGACGATTGAAAAAGAAGCCCTAGCTTCTGTTTAGGGAATAGAAAAATGGCGTTTATTCTTATGGGGTCGTAAGTTTGTTTTACGCACTGACCACCAGCCCTTAAAGACTATCTTTACTTCGAAAGGTCTTGGTCGTTCAAGTATGCGACTTTCCAGATGGGCTGCTCGCCTAATGGTGTATACTTTTGATGTAGAATACAAAAAAGGTAAAGACAACGTTGTTGCAGATTGTATGTCTCGCCTACCCTTACCTCACTCTGATTCGAAAGAAGAAGATTTTGACTCGGAAATGATTGCCATCATAGATAGTCAATTACAAGCCATTTCCGTTGCTGAACTACAAGCTGCAAGTGAACAGTCTGAGTTGTTTGGAAAAGTTCGTCAACAAATCGCAGACAATTGGCCGAATAAGAAAATTCTTCCTTCGGAACTTTTGCCGTTCTACAACGTTCGTAATGAACTAGCCTGCAAGGACAACTTGATTTTTCGACAAAATCGCCTTGCTGTGCCAGCATCTTTACAACCACGCTTGATTGAACTTGCCCACGAGAGTCATCAAGGCATTGTCCGCACTAAACAGCGTCTACGTTTGCTGTATTGGTGGCCTTGTATGGATAACGCAGTAGAACTTGCAATAAAATCCTGTGTTACGTGTCAGTCGCACGACAAGACAGCTACTACACATACTGCACCTATGCAACCTATACCGTTTCCTAAAGAACCTTGGGATCGTGTATCTATTGATATTGTTGCACCATTTCAAAGTGCTTCAATGCAAAATCGCTATGCTGTGACTTTGATAGATCATTATACAAAATGGCCGGAAGTTAGTTTTATGCCTAACATAACTACTGAAAATGTGCTTGAGTTTCTAGAAACAATTTTTTCAAGAGAAGGTTATCCTAATCATTTACTTAGTGATAATGGTGTTCAATTCGTATCTCAAGACTTTGAAGATTATTTGAAACAACGTAATATTATTCATTTACGAACATCTAACTATTATCCGCAATGTAATGGTGCACTCGAACGTTTCCACAGGTGTCTCAAAGATACTGTTATATCTGCCGTTATTGAACAGAAACCTTGGAAATCTGCTGTTCGAAATTTCTTGTTTATATATCGTGCTACGCCCCATGCTACTACTGGTATCGCTCCATCAGATCTAATGCATGGTCGTGAAATGAAAACCTTACTACATGTTCTTCCACAGCTAATTTATGTGTTTCAAGTGATAAAACCGTACGTGAACGTGTTAAACATAAGCAAAGTGCTATGAAAACGTATTCTGATTCTCATCGTGCTTGTAAGAGTTCGAACATTGCTTCGGGTGACTACGTTCGTATCCGTAAACCTATAAAACCTCTAAAAGGAAATCCTGGATATACACAACCACTCAAAGTTATCAAGAAAGTTAGTGATAATACATATAAGTTAAGTGATGGAAAAATTTGGAATTCTAAGCATTTATCTTTGTGTAATGTGCCAAGTAAAAGTGATACTAGTCATAATAATACTAGTTCAAATTGTGCATCTAATAGTGATGTTATTCGCAAATCTAATCGAGTATCAACACATGCCGGGGATAAAGACTTCGTTTACTATTGATGTTTACAATTTGCATGCTATTGATTTCAATGTTAACTTTGCAAAGGTTATGCATTTCAGTTTAAGTTATTTCTCTTGCAATTGCTACATTGTATTTCGTTATTTTCCTTATAGATTGAGCATCAATCTTCGGGAGGGGGATATGTTATATTGCTTATTAATCTCACTCGTATACTTAATTGGAGTTGCTTTTCCTTTATGGACTATGTTTTTCTATGATGCGTATGAATACAAGAAAGTAGTACACACAGGTATGTAACCGCCATGATGTCTGAATTTGATGATTGGAGTTTGTTTGTTTGTATTCGATTCTTCCTGTCCTGCTTGTGCTAGGCTTGGCCGTCCTTACGATACAACAGAGACTATTTCTCACTTAAAAATTGTAATTATGTATATTTAAGGTTTAAAAGAGAATGTGAGAATAGTCGATCCTATGGATACAGATACTTTAAACATAGTCGCCAATGGTCAGGGAACACTAAAACAACAAATACACATTAACGGTCATAATATAATATATAACACTGTCTTCGCATCTCTTGGTTTTGGTGGTATATCAGAGTCGGCAGAACACTTGGAGATAGATGTACTCAATCAATCTGATAGCAATAGTTACCGCGTTCATCTAATGTTCTATTCAAGTAACGGAATGAACATTTTACGACTTGGATTCAAATATCAAGGCTTGAGTGAGACGGCAGAGCAAGTCAATAATATACAATTAAAAGGGTTGATAGCAGAAAGAAATGATTCAACCTATTCCTTATGTTTAGAAGTGAAAGGTGGTCAAATAATCCACGGCTCTGTTTTCGAGTGTTACCAAGGATGTTTAAAAGGCTATGCACCGACGTTTACTGGAAATGCAATCAAAAGAACTGTCGACTCAATTGGGTTGAGAAACGGCAATATTTATTTCAAATTTATGCCCACAATGACGAGGGACGGGTCTCGGGTATACGCCACTAATCCAGCTATTATTGGAAACCATCAAATAAATATTCGTAGTACAGCGAGTAGAATATTCTGGACAATACGAAATCATTCCTTATCCTATTCGGTTAATCAAACGATCACAAATTATCGAGTTTACTTAGACTCTAATTGGCATCTTGCGTACTCTAACAACCAGTTCGGAAATTCCACGTATGGTTTCCTAGCATACCTCCGTGATTTGGTTCTGAGTGGGAAGAGAGTTCGAGTTGCTGTTCAAGATAGAATATACTCCGTGCAAATGACTTCTATATTTGACAAAACTATTATGGTACATTTAACCGATATGTATGATGGCAACGCATGGAGCCAGAAAAAACCAATTCACATGCGACAACTAGTATCAACTTCTGGTGATTATCATTACTGTTCCTTTGAATCAGAATCAGATGTGAAAATTAATGGTGCTTCTGGGATGAAGCCTGTGGCGTGGTATATAGAGAATCGATGTTGGAGAAAGATAATAAGGTTTGATTCGGAGAAAAATATTGTATCAGGATCCACCCAGGAACTATTTGACGTCGCTTCAACCGGAAAATCACTAAGATTCATCTTGGAATATGAGTCGTGTTCCGATATCTATGATGTAATTCAAGTCCACCTTTTTAACACTAGCTTTGTTGTTATGAATTCGGTATTTGGTAATGTAAAAAGCGGTGTATTAGAATGCTCGAAATGGTCCTACACTTTATATTCCACTGGGACCGTGGAATTCTCCAGATGGAAACCAGGGAGAATCATGTCTTTTAATAGATTGTTAGAAAAGTCCCATCACTATGTTCAAATTTTAAGCGAAATGTAAATTTTATGATATTGTTATCAAGATATAAGACATTGTTATTTAGTTGTATGATATCGTTATTGAGCTGTATTGTGTTGTTTTTTTAGTAGTATGGTATTGTATTTAGTTTATTGTACTGTTATTCAATTGTTATTGTTGTTTAGGTATATGATATTTCTATTAGTTGTATGTTATCGTTACTGAGTTGTATGGTATTGTATTTAGTTTGTGGTATTTAGTTTGTGGTATTGTATTTAGTTTGTGGTATTGTATTTAGTTGTATCATATTGTTGTTTAGTGGTATGTATATAAATGTATCGCATTAAAATATAATATAATATGCTTTTCATGAATTCTGTTCCACAACATTAACCAAGCAGAAGAAAATCAAAGTACTTTCTTTACAGATTGTCTTACCTGATAGACAAGTGGTATTGAAATATTGAATAACCGTGACAATCTCAAAATGAGCGCTTTCCGAAGCCGTTATTCTTATGAATAAAACACACAAAACAGTTCACAAATTTCCACTCGATCAACCAGAAGTTGATGTAACCCAGTGTGAAACATTAACTTCACATGAATTAGTTTTATTAAAGGACAATAGTCGTCTAAAGAATTGTATTTCTTTAGTTGTTAGAACTATAACATACTTCAAGATCTCGGTTTTTAAATAGCAGATTACTCATGATTTTCTGGCTATTCCATTATACATCAACATACTCAGTCATGGGCTCTGGAGATCACCAACTGAACTAACTTCATTTGAAAGTTAAGTCAAGAATTTATTAACGTTCAAGAATAAGAAATGAAATGAATGGAGTTTTACGTCCTACTCTTCTGCACCTTGTGGGCTAATGAAGACGATTTTCAAGAATAAGGTAAAGTCAAGAATTTATTAACTTTCCAGAATAAGGTAAAGTCAAGAATTTATTACGTTCAAGAATAAGATGAAGTCAAGAATTTATTAACTTTAAGAATAATGTTAAGTCAAGAATTTATTAACTTTAAGAATAAAGTAAAGTCAAGAATTTATTAACTTTAAGAATAATGCAAAGTCAAGAAGTTATTAACTTTAAGAATAATGTAAAGTCAAGAATTTATTAAGTTTAAGAATAATGTTAAGTCAAGAATTTATTAACTTTAAGAATAAAGTAAAGTCAAGAATTTATTAACTTTAAGAATAAAGTAAAGTCAAGGATTTATTAACTTTAAGAATAATGTAAAGTCAAGAAGTTATTAACTTTAAGAATAATGTAAAGTCAAGAATTTATTAAGTTTAAGAATAATGTTAAGTCAAGAATTTATTAACTTTAAGAATAAAGTAAAGTCAAGAATTTATTAACTTTAAGAATAAAGTAAAGTCAAGAATTTATTAACTTTAAGAATAATGTAAAGTCAAGAAGTTATTAACTTTAAGAATAATGTAAAGTCAAGAATTTATTAAGTTTAAGAATAATGTAAAGTCAAGAAGTTATTAACTTTAAGAATAATGTAAAGTCAAGAATTTATTAACTTTAAGAATAAAGTAAAGTCAAGAATTTATTAACTTTAAGAATAATGTAAAGTCAAGAAGTTATTAAGTTTAAGAATAATGTAAAGTCAAGAATTTATTAAGTTTAAGAATAATGTTAAGTCAAGAATTTATTAACTTTAAGAATAATGTTAAGTCAAGAATTTATTAACTTTAAGAATAATGTTAAGTCAAGAATTTATTAACTTTAAGAATAATGTAAAGTCAAGAATTTATTACCTTTAAGAGTAATGTAAAGTCAAGAATTTATTACCTTTAAGAATAATGTAAAGTCAAGAATTTATTACCTTTAAGAATAATGTAAAGTTGTGATACAACTGTCATTTAGTGTAAACTAAGCTGATGTGGGATTAATATTTGATTCAAAAGCACTAAAGCTACAACTAAATGCCACAAGCTGTTTATCATCTAGTTACAGAGTTACTACCATCCTTATAGACAAGACGTGCCGGAATCACAAGAAAATATGGCGGTTTTAATATTTCCATTTCATGAAATCATCAAAAAACATGTTTCGCCCATAGAATTTTCAAGAAAATTTTACATTGCTATTTTCATTTCACTTTTTTTTTTTCATGTTATGTTTTCTCTGAAGTGATATTTCTGCACAGTCGAGTATGTTTTATTCAATCTAAACTGATGTTGTCTGAAAGCAACAAGAGTACTCTCCCCTCCTGACTCTTCGTGACATAAGCCTTTAATGATAAAAACAGCATTACATTTCAAACCGCGGGAATTTTTGACAGAGAAGTGAGCTTTTCACCTTTTAAAGGATATTTTGAACATTATAATGGAAGAACAGAGACCATCCAAAAATCAAGGTAATTATTGGGTCACAAAGTTTAGTTTCTTTCAGATTTTTTTCAATTACATGTAGATTTTCATTCCGTTTTCATCGAATGAAAAACCGGGGGCAGTTCATTACTAGCCCCATCGTGTCCATAGCACGCCCCCATTCGTACGATGTACGATGTACTAGCCCTTGTCTAGCTAGGCCTGGCATAAACTGTCCCCATTCTATCTAAAGCTTCGCATCAATAACTTGAATAAGCACCAGTGACAGTTTCTGATCATATAGTCTTTTATAGTATAAGATTTTCAGGTCAGGGGTTTCATGAAAGGGGATCTAATCTACGTCCATGGACAAGAACAATAGAACATAACTCAGATTTTGATTCCTTTTGTAAGCAGTCACCAAACGTTCAGTTGTATAGATGTTAGGGAATTCGTCCTGACTGAAGTTCTTTATTTATAAATGTTTTAGTTAGTGATTTTTACGTGCAAAGTCATTATACGCCTACCTACTTGAACCACTCCAATATCCTCGAGGAAGGGAGGGGGAATAGGCTTTCGACACGGCCCTGGTGATTTTATTAAATGTGTGCCGGCGATTCGCCATGTTAGGCGGTTGATTTTGGTCTTAAGTAGGCCTATAATGAGAAATACGAGAAATGTACAAAAATCAAACTAGGGATTCAATATACATGTATATTTATGTCTTTTTTAACATTCAAGTGCGGATAATTCTGGACCCACCCACGTGGATTTTAAGGCTCGAATCTCAACGGTGAGCTGCGAACACTTAAGCTAATAAATTCACGTTTCTTCTTAGACTAACTTGTAATATATTACAGATCAAGCTATGGTAACTACTGGTGGTGAAGATAATATAGACTGTATTACATACTGTTGTCTCTATGTTTTCTCCTTCTTTGTCTGTTTACTTTTTTTCCCCTTCTCTTTATGTATGGTCTGTAAGGTAAGTTCAGAGTTATTGGGAATTCCCTATGCCTCCACATGAAAATGTGGTCGTATATTGCCGTCGGTTCGTCGGTCCTTCCGTCAACATTTCTTGTGAACACAAAAGAGACTACAGTTTTCATCCGATTTTGATGAAACTCTCTGTGAACATTGGAATTGATAAGATCTTGGTCAAGTTCGAATTTGACGATTTTTCGATGAACAGATTTTGAGTTTATTGCCTTTGAAAATCGCACCCTAATTTGTTTTTGGGCACAATAGAAGCTACAATTTTCAATGGATTTTGATGAAACTTGGTATGAACATAGGAATTTAACGATATTTTGGGTTGAACAGATGAGTTGGTGCCCTCAACTAAGTCAAAACGCATCAAAAACGCATAAAATTTGGTATGATCATATATAATTATGTATTTGATATATATATTGCATTTGACTTAACAGTTTTTGAGTTTTGCCCCTTATTTAAAACATGTCAAATTTGTTCATGCGCTCAATAGAGTCCATTTTTTCGTTCATTTGAAACTTTATGTTCTCATTGGAATTGTTAAGGTCTCGATTAGGGAGTTGATTACTTAATTCTGAGTATTGAATATAAACTTGACAGATTAAATTTCGACGGTGAGCTGTGATCACTATTACTAATTGACTTAGCTAAAAAAAAAATTACGAGGCTAAAGTTTGATTGTTCAAAAATGGCGTATCTGTCCCTTTAAGAACTTACAATTTTTTAAATCTGTTCAACGCAAAGATATGCTTAGGCTATCAGTTCCACATGAAGCTGACATTTCAGTTCACGAGAAAATAATCATTTAAATTTGATTTGTAGAGGTGCAACGGTTAATTATTGTGCACCTGCACCCTGTCAATGTTAAAGATATATGGTCTTCAATTTTTTGACTTGACAATACATTGACTATATTATTAAATTTCACGATCTTTAGTCAAGGTGAATTGGTCACAAATTAGTTCAATAGTTGGCTACAAAGTAAATTGATCCGACACGGTGTCTTGACCTAGAGTTCAATAATCTAATTGGAGATTATAATATTATTTCGTTTATTCTGAATCATTATAATGTCGTTGTCCATGTTGATATTGACACTCTCTATACTACTTGGTTTAACATAGCTCCGATAACATCAATTTGCACCATTCTATCAATGTTTGATGACGTCACTATCGCAAATTATGCTTTATCACGTAAAGGCTCTTTGCAGTTATTGATGTCATCGAACACTTCGGTTTTAACGGAATTGCAGGAACCACAGACGTTTGATTAAGTGTTGGAATGGTGCAAATTAATGCCATCATTGTCCCCGATACATACAAAAAATTAAGACAACCTTTTTACAATCCCATTAAGGTCGTAACAGAATATCAAAGAGCTGTAATATTTCGATTGGGCAGAATTGTTTCTGGACGCGCTAAAGGACCAGGTATAGTACATGTTTATACTTTTATCGAATACACATATATTGGCAAAATTTTCTTTTAAAAAGAAAACGTGACGGCAATAGAACCTTGGCATTTTAATAGAGGGTTAAACGTTTAAAGTAAATCAAATTTCATGGGAAATTACTGTAGCCATTCGGAAAGGGAAAGAGGCCCTGTCGATACAACCAAATGTAAAGCTCACAGATTCTGTGTTGGTCTATTCGTTTTTGGAAGTACATGACTATATGGAATCATCTTCACAGTGTCAAGCTATTACAAGCTTCGTACTTATACCTTGACTGCAACAGTAACCTTTCTTGAATCATGGAAGCAATGATATCTGTAAGTTGTGAAAATACCACGATTTTGTTAAGGTATGTTCTAAAATTGCAATGATTTTCTCTAGGTCTGTTCTTTGTGTTTCCATGTGTGGATGAAATTAAGATTGTGGATTTAAGAACAGTTTCATTTGATGTTCCACCACAGGAGGTTAGGTTTTATCTAAAAAAAAATTCTTGGACAGCGATATCTTGAAACCATAGTCAATTGTGACTTGTACAAACGTACGAAAGAAGTTGGGAATTTTTACAGATTTTAACGAAATTTAAAGAACGTTAATGAAATTATATATTATCACTAGAGGAAAATCTTATCTTAAATAAATCATTTATTTAATATGAGTTAAAATTCTTTGAAAATCATGATTTTTTCATCTCGAAAACACAGAAACTGATTGAAGAAAAGCTCTAAGAAAACCAAGTGTTCGATGACGTCATTTATCGCAAAGGTCCTTTTGTGAACCACAGACGTCTACAAGAAAATTGGAATGGTGCAAATGGATGCTATTAGTGTCCCTGATACACATAAAAATTGTTGAAATCTTCTCAACAATTCCCCTGTGGTCTTGTATACACCGATATTCAAAATGATTTGGGCCAATCTCCTTAAGTTTTTATGCGATGTTCGTAAAACTTGGTACGTAATGATGAAGCTCTAATGTTTTATCAGGTCACCTGTCGTTTCAGATTCTAACCAGAGATTCAGTAACTGTAGCAGTAGATGCTGTGGTTTATTACAGAGTAGCCAATCCTACCATTTCTATAACCAACATTGAGGATGCTAGTATTTCGACAAGACTTCTTGCAGCATCCACTCTAAGAAATGTTTTAGGAACAAAGAATTTAGCAGAGATTCTATCAGAAAGAGAGTCCATAAGTCATATGATGCTTGTAGGTAGCTCGGTATAACATAATTAAAGATGGGATTCCTTTTTAGTGTCGAATTAAGCAAGCTATTTGATTAATTGATACTTCTAATGAAATATCATGTGTTTGTAATATCATTACGTTCTTTTAAGGCATTTAATTAAGATTTTTAACCAACCCTAAATGTCCATGTATGTACAGTCTAGATAAACAAATTATGGATATGTGAGACTAAATATTTTTGCAAGTCATTAGAACATCTCTACTTTCTATTCATACAAGTACATGTATTAGCATTTTCATTTTCATAAAAGAAGATAAGGGAACCCATCTTTACAGGATAACTTCATTATCTAACCACAGGGCTGAATGAAAGTGTTTCGTATACTCATTAATCCACTGCTGCTCTCTTCGACGGGAGTTAGACGCTTGGTCGCTAACCTATAGGTCCAGGGTTCAATTCCGACGTATGTCGAGATAATACCTTCAGATTTTTCAACCCAGTTTCCCCTGTCAGGTATATAAGAGGGGCTGACATGGAAAAAGCGTCTAGTCGCTCGGATGGGACAATAAACCGTGCTGAAGGCTGTGCACGTTAAAGATCCTTCGACAGTTGGAAATCGCTTATGCTGCTGTCCTGGCAAAATTTCCCTTCGACATGAGATAGTATGACTGTAGATGGTTGATGGAATTAAGTCAAATTCTGCAAGAGACATTTCATAAAANGGGGGGGGGGGGGGGGGGGGTGCATATATTGCCGTCAGTCCGTCCACAATTGCTCGTTAACACTCTACAAGACTCAATTCTTAACTGATTTAGACGAAACTTGTTATGGTTGTTTGTAATCATCCAAGGATGATCCCTGTCAAAAATCAGAAAAATCAAAAATATTTAGTCACAGTTACAAGAAAACGCGTTCAATTTACTCCAGAAGGCCCAATTCTTTACAGATGTTGATGAAACTGGGTAATATTCAGTATCGCCTCAAAAAGTTCAAAAGAAATGTATGACTGAAGGTTGAATATTTCATACTGGTAATTGTAACTGTACTGCCAAATATTTTTATTTAAAATCAAAGCTGCCAGTGGGCGTATATTACCTTGCCTGGCAAGTTATCTTATGTATTGTCGTCTCAAACGCAAATTTGCATAAAAGCTTCAATAAGCACACATCACATTGAAATTTGTTTTTATTCTGGGAAGGAAGTTTGTGTCTTTTCAATGTGAAGTTATTTTGTGTACTTGTATCGTCACCCCGTCCGTCTTGTGAACGTGAAAGAGGCTCCAGTTTTGAACCGTTTTAGGATGCAAATCATGAATATTGGTGTTTTCCTAGTTAACTTTTTTTATTCAAAGGATTTATATAACGTTTTTAGAAAACCACCACTCATTTAATATATACCACTATAGTTAGTACAAAGTAGATTTTCTATTTATTTCAGTAAGGATGTAAGATTGCCTCATCAGTTACAGAGAGCTATGGCTGCTGAAGCAGAGGCTGCCAGAGAGGCCCGAGCTAAGGTAAGAACTTGATTTCAAGAAGTCTTGATGTCGCATTTAAAAAAAAAACAGGCAATAACAAGCCAGTTTAATTACTTGACTTGGTGTGACGCCAATCAGTGTATGCTTACTCTTCTAGAAAACTGATACATCATTTTAATAGAAAAAATTAATCAGTTTGGTAAGATAGTTCGCCAAAATGTTGTTTGGGGTTTCGGTTTGCGGTTTGGATGTTAGTACTTGGTTTATTTATTGAGTCATGTGTACATTGTTCCTAGTCAAGTTGGATTTTATCCTTCTTTAAATAAAGAAGATTGCATTTAAAGAGCACGTATAATATTATTTACAAGAGAAATTTATTCATTGCAGATCATTGCTGCTGAGGGAGAACAAAAAGCATCCAAAGCTTTAAAAGAAGCTGCAGACATCATGGTGGACTCACCAGCTGCTTTACAATTGAGATACCTCCAAACCCTCAACACCATCTCTGCTGAAAAAAACTCTACCATTATCTTCCCTTTACCAATAGATTTACTCAGTGGATTAATGCATTAACAATGTTAGTATGAATAATATTTATTGTTACACAAACAAATTGGTGAGAATTCAATCTGGGACAGGTTCGCCATTTTCGGAGGTTGATTTGGGCCATGGATGTATGTAAATAGTCTTCAAAAGTACAAGAAATGTACGGAAATCTTTTCTCTATATGTCTCGAGAAATGACGAGTCGTCATTTTTAACATTCAAATGCGGATAATTCTTGACACATAAGATTTGAAGGATCAAATTTCGACGATTGGGGTCATACACTATTACTGATTAATTTAGCTAAGAAAAATCTAAGGTACGATTGGTCAAACGAATGTCGAATCTGTCCCTTTAACAATGATTAATATAAGGGTAGACTTATCAATGGCCAGTATCTCTAAAACACTTTGACAAATCATTCTCAAATTTTGTTTTAGTATTAATTATATGCCATGCATTATTCTTGACATTTTAATTTAATTTCAGATTGTAAATAAACTGTTATATTTTATATTAAAGCTGACACGATCATTCTCAGAGGGGGTACCCTGCTCCAGAATGACGCTCTCTGTTACTTTAAATTCTCAATTCTGTTTTAAATATTACGTATTCTGTATTTAATATTATATATTCTGTATTTAATATTATGTATTCTGTATGTAATATTATTATCCTGTATTTAATATTATATATTCTGTATTTAATACTATATATTCTGTATTTAATGTTATATATTCTGGTTATAATATATGTATTATTATGTATTCTGTATTTGATATTATGTATTCTGTATTTTAATGTTATATATTCTGTTTTTAATATTAAGCATTATGTATTTAATGTTATATATTCTGGTTTTAACACATGTATTATTATGTATTCTGTATTTAATATGTATTATTATGTATTCTGTATTTAATATTATGTATTTAATGTTATATATTCTGGTTTTAACATATGTATTATTATGTATTCTGTATTTAATATTATGTATTTAATGTTATATATTCTGGTTTTAACATATGTATTATTATGTATTCTGTATTTAATATTATGTATTTAATGTTATATATTCTGGTTTTAACATATGTATTATTATGTATTCTGTATTTAATATTATGTATTTAATGTTATATATTCTAGTTTTAACATATGTATTCTGATGTTGATGATTAAACTATATCAATGTATGATTTTATTTAATGGTTTTAGTGTATTTGGTAATTACAACAATTGTATCTCAACTGAACTGAACACAATAAAATCTTGGTGACCAAACCAAATTGAAGCATCAAATCTCATACTCTCTACAATGTCGAATCGAGTTTTGTCAAACATTTTCATACTAGTGTGCGTGTAAGATTGTCTTTGGGTTGATGAAATACCAACCACTCTTAAATATAATTTAGCAGAGGGGATGTTGCAGTTTTAAAAGTGGGAAAATTTGATTCAAGATACAATTCTTGACAATTAGGCATTCAATTGGGTGATTGATGGCTTTATATTTCATTAGAGAGTTGTCATTGAATTTTGCACATGACTATCATTGAAAGCCATGTAATGGCTAACCTATACTTGATGTCCGATAGAGGATATTGACCATCAGTCATTTTAGCAGGCCTGTCGGTCATATCCGGCATATAAAGCCCTGGTTTGGAGTTTGTTAACACTCTAAATGCCATAATTCTCGAAGGATTTAGAAATTGTTAATCATCAATCAAAGATGGAACAGTCTTGAAAAAAAAATCAAAAATATTTTATATGAGTTAATGAGTTATTATGAGCCCTTGATCTTGAAAATACATTCAATTTGGAGCGCTCTAAAGGCTTTTATTTTTGTGCTATCTTTATAAAAAGAAATCTCAACAAAATACATACAAGTGCATTTTTTATCATCTTTCTCAAAGCTATCCATTTCTATATAGTTGTTCAATGCTGAGAAACTCATCACATTGGTACTGAACAAATGAAGAGTGATTTTGAAAATGTCTTATTTCTGAAGTTCAAAGAGAACATTCACAACCAGTTTAGTTTTATTATCCCACTGTTAACAATCCTATTCAGGATCATCAACCTCTATCACAGGAAGTCTGCGAGATGATGGTTTAGGAAGTGAAAAATGGTCATTACTGATTTGAAGATAAGAGGAATCTTCTTTCTCCTCTGGTTGAATTAGGGCTGAAAGAGAGAATTAAATTTTTAATCAAACCAAAATTGCAATGCAAACAAGTTAACTTCCTTAGGTGAATGTAGAAGAGATCGGGCCCTAAGTCCACAAAACATTTCTTGTGCTCAGCAGTTTTTATAATGTCACTGGTATCAAGAAAGTTAGAACTTGAAGATTAATATGATAATGCTAGAAACATTGTGTCCTTAGGAATAGACTGATATATTATTTTTTCTTTGATACAATTAGTTATACACCTGTAATAGCTGCTGTGAGTTGAGTAAAATTTCAGTAAAGTTTAAAGAAGGTTTTTTGGCTCTGGTGCCAGGGTTTGGAATGCTCACTCAAATAAAAATACATGACTTGTGTTTATATTTCATGATAACCATACCTGTTTATCTGTACTCTATGAATTAGAGTATAAAAGACTACATTATGAAAGTGTCGTCAACTGATCACTGCTTGATATTCTCTGCTCTATGTGCATTAATATCTAAAAAGCTATTATTGAGGATACTATTATATGTAAAATAGTTATCTTATACAAGACACAATAGTAATTAGACTTTTGAGAACTGGAGTGATGGTCACTGTAGCCCAAACTCAAAGGGAAAATATTATTAAATAAAATGTAGAAAGTATAGAAATATTTTGGCATACTTAAAATATAAACTTCATTTTGAATATCTTCTACAACTGAAGCTTGATTTATTTTTCATTTTTTGATTTCAGAATCAGTTATAAAAATTTAAAGTGAGATAAGGCTCAGTATCAATGTGTCATTATAGTTAGCTATATCAATGTTATCTGTTGGTTTAAAGGAAGGCAGATTTCTAAAATGTGAATAAAAATAATTTTGGAACACCTTTTACTTTTTGGTGTTTTCGAACAAATTATAGAATGTTTTAGAATTTGATTGATTGCATTCCTGTCTTCTGGATTGATTTAGTGAATAGTTTAGGCAATGAAACTCTGAATAGTATATAGTTGAGGAATGAGGAAAACTAGACTTACAAATATAGGAATTTTTCCTCCTTTCGAATTCTGTGTTTAACATTTCCAGTAAAAATAATTGAGTCCTTTCTTGTAATAATGATTCACACAGCTTGTCGTAAGCTTTTGGTCCATTTTTTAAGATTGTGTCTAAAAATAAACTAGCTCGTTTTTTACGTGTTGTCAGATGTCTTATTTCCTCAATATCCTCCTCAGATAACAAACATTTTGATCGTAAATAATCCACATGTCTGTCAGGATTTAAACTCACTAGAAGCTCAGACCTTTTCTCTTGGATAATCTTTAAAAAAAATATACATTTTAAATTCTATTTAGTCTCATCTGTATCACAATCATAATAACAAGACTACAGCAAATTAATTTAATAATCCCATTCCCATCCCATCTTATTGTAAATAATAAACCATACACCAGACATTCATTCTACAAGGTGTAACTTCAAACAGTTCTCTCCAGTAGCGGGTCAAATCAGTCACAACTAAATGAGTGGACCTGTGAAACATATGTTCTCCTACATTCTGAGACCTCCTGGAAGATTTTTGGAAGAAAAGAAATTCTTACCTCGTTTTTGATAGCAGCTAAAATTCTTTCATTGGACACTTGTACATTATAGTCAATGGGTGAACCCCTAGCCTTTAGTTCTGCCATTTTCAACTGACAAGGAAAAGTACTAGTGAACAGATCTTCCTACTAGAGTGGTTACATCCGGATAAAAATTATAACTCTGTTGTCATAAATACCTTTATCCTTATTTCAAAATATAATTTACATCCTGGTTTGAATCATAAATGGAGTTTTCTCCCTTGAATTGTTAGTACTCTTAAAGGTTAACATGAACCATTTCTATTACTTGACTTGTGATATCAGCCTCCGCTGGAAGCGATCTACCTACCTACCCGATAAGGAAGGTAGAGAGAGGGAGAGGAAGGGGAACAGGTTAGAGGGAAGTGGAGGATGGGTGAGTTCGGTAGAGAGAGAGAGGTGAGGGAGAGGGGAGTGTAGGAGAGAGAGGATAGTGGAAGATAGAGAGGGGAGTGTAGGGGGAGAGAAGGAGAGGCGTGTAGGTGGAGAGAGAGGGCAGTGTAGGAGAAAGATTTGAGACTTGCATTCACCTTTCTACACTGACCATTCAATTAACCTTTTATTAGAGAACAGAAGCCAAGGTTTTTAAAATATTATGTTGGTTTTTGCATCAGAATCTGATTGCCAAATTTAAAGAATACACTCCTCACATATTTAAAG